GAGGACAGGGCCACAGGATCCTTCTCAGGTGAGCAGGGAGGGGGCCATGGCCCTCAGGAGCCACCCCTGTGGCCTTCCAGGAGCCTGGGGTTGGGACCCCACTCATAGGAACAGCTCCTGAATCAGCGCTGACCCCTGCAGACCTGCCCGGAGGGGGAAATTTACATAGAAACCTCACCCGGCACCCTACAGCCACCGGAGCCTGGATCGGTGAGAGCTGCCATCCTACACACACTCACACTCACACATGCACACTCACACACACTCCCACACACATGCATACACACATTCACACACACATTCATATACTCACACACTCACACATACTCACCCACTCTCTGTCTCTCACACTCTGCAGACCATGTTCCCAGGCCCCTGGTCACCAAATATTCCCTTCATCAGCCTAGAAGTTCCACTACCAGTGATACCAACGATTCAGGGTTTAAAGGAGAGGAATCTCTGTTAATACCCCCCTTCCCAACATTAAACATATGAGCCGTTCACACTTTAGTATGAACAAGCCAACAGCTCCTCTCTCTATTCCTTAGGTAGATGCTGCATAAGGAGACTCCACTATGAGTTCATTTTTTTTTTTTTTGAGACAGAGTCTCACTTTGTTGCCCAGGCTAGAGTGAGTGCCGTGGCATCAGCCTAGCTCACAGCAACCTCAATCTCCTGGGCTCGAGCGATCCTCCTGCCTCAGCCTCCCAAGTAGCTGGGACTGCAGGCATGCACCACCATGCCCGGTTAATTTTTTCTATATATATTAGTTGGCCAATTAATTTCTTTCTATTTATAGTAGAGACGGGGTCTTGCTCTTGCTCAGGCTGGTTTTGAACTCCTGACCTCAAGCAATCCACCCGCCTCGGCCTCCCAGAATGCTAGGATTACAGGCGTGAACCACCATGCACCAGCCATTATGAGTTCATTTTTGTAGGAGGGGATGTGTGGACAGAGAAGCAGAGTAAGGGACCTCAGAGAAGGCAGATGGGGCAAAGGTGGGTGGGGGCACAGGAAGGACAGGATTTGGGGCAAAATCCAGAGGAAGGGAAGTGGGAACAAACGTTGTTAAGGAGAAGGCCTCTCATTTGTCCATCCCTTCATAGTCCGCAAAGCACAGTCACAGGGAAGTCCCCAAGTCGTCATTTCACCCCCATATTCCAGATGGGGGAACAGGCCCTGAGAGAAGGGTCTCTGTCTACATCACATGGAACATCCAGGTCTCCTAAGCCCCACGCTGGCGCCCCGTCCTGCCATGCTTGCTGTGCCCGGCCCTGTCATCCTGTTGTCCTCCTACCCCTGCACAAGGCGCGGGGCTGTCTTCCTGCGGATCCCCGCGGGGCCGAGCCCTGATTTATGACTGTCCGGCAGCTTCCTTCCTCCGTCACTGCCTTGCAGCCCCAGTCCCACTTGGCGAGGCGGGGACGAGCTGGGTGGGAAGGGCAGCTCCACGGAGCAGAAATAAGCCGGCCGGGCAGCTGCAGGCTCTCGGGGTCTCCCAGCGCCCCGGCCCGGCGCTGTGGGGCGCCCCCTGCTCCGAGCAGGAGGGGCGCGGGGACGCCTGGCCCTGGGGCCCTGCCCTTTGTCTGGGCACAACTTCGAAGGCTGCCACCCCTTCCCTTTCATGGCGTCCAGGCGCTGCCAAGGCCCCGGTGGCTGCCACCATGGGCTCCGGGCAGCCTTCGGCCCGCTCTGGCTGCTTCGTCACCTGGGGGATGGGCAGGTGTGGGTGCGGGGCTGGCACGAGCTGGGGTGTAAACCGGGCTGACAGGATGGGGCACCCCAAGCCGGCGAGGCTGTCCCGTGGGACCCGGCAGGGGAAGAGGCCCCTAGCCGGCGCCGAGGGAGGCCACGGGAAGGAGGCTGCAGCCCAGGTTTGTTTGTTGGGAGAAAGCATTTCCTGTTTGGACTAGGCCAGGGTGGACGCCTCAGTGACTCCGCACCAGACAGGCTGTGCTTCCCGGAACCGCGGCCCGCTCGGGAGGGTGGCGCTGTGTGTGTCCCTGTGTGGTCCCCATGTGCATGGGTCCAGGTCCGGGTGGTTTGTGTCCATGTGTTCTCTCCGCCCTCCTCGGCCCCAGATGGGAGCCCAGGCCCGAGCCAAGGTCTCTGTCCCCCCAAAGCAGCCCCCGCAGGGCTCAGCCAGAGGGTGGCAGCGTGGCGGGGCTGGTGAGCACGCCAGCCGGTACCCATCACTCACCAGCCGTGGGCGCCACACCTGGGGACAGTGAGTGAGGCCGCCTCCAGGTGGCAGAGGGGAAGGCAGCAGACAATGCGAGCAAAACGCTGAGCACAGCGCCTGGCACCGGTCAGCGCTCGGGAACGGAAGCCGCTGTCGTTACTGGCGGCTGTGGTCTGGTCTTGGCAGCGGAGAGGACCAGGCCCCCACGGGGAGGCCCCGCCTGCAGGGCCAGGCGCTGAGACCTCGAGCCATCCAGCCCCTCTGCCCCCCATCTCAGCAAACACTGAAACCTCAAATGACCAAATCCCAGGCCCTCGTGGCATTTCCTGCCTTTCCGCTCGGCTAGGAAAGAGGACAGAAAGCAGGCCAATGTCCACCAGGAAAACCAGCCCTTAAAAGGGGGCTTCAGTTGTCCCCTAGGGCCACCGCAGGGAGACCTGATGCTTTCGCATTGTCCCCAAAGCTCAGACTCTTGAGCCAGAGGGATTTAATAAAGGTCCTGGGGCTTGTTTTTTCAGGCAAGGCAATGAGGCTCAGAGAGGGGAAGTGACTTGTCTCAGGTCACACAGCTTCCAGTGGTGGCTCAGGAACTGGCCCGCAGAGCTATGGGGTCCGAGCCTGTGCGGTGGTAACCACCAGGCCACACTGCCACCGGTCTGGCTATTGTTATACACAAACACCTGGCGCCAGGGATCCCAGCCTCAGCAAGGACAGGCCCCTCTGCTGTGATGTGAAAATGTTAATAACAGCTTTTACCAAGCAAGTCCCCTGCTGGAGAAATCCTTCAGTGGCCTGAATCTCCCACGAGTCTGGTGGCATTGGTTAAGGAATGTGAATGCCATTAATCACCTAAGCATCTCGCACATGTTGCAAACAGACCTAGTGGCGCTTCCTCGTTCTGTGGCACCCATCTGGGTCCCAGACACCTCTCGGTCCCTCCAAGGCACCCCCAGGACAGAAGCCACTGCCCAGCGCTTCTCCTTCCCATACAGCTGTCTGCCTGTCAAAGCGCCCATGGGGTGGTGGGGTTTGATTCCAGCCGCTTGATCAGGGCCTCAGACGGGCCTGGGGTCCTCCTGGGACGTGGCCCGTCAGGAGTAGCCTGTCACCAGGAGGCTGAGTCATTGCTCTAGCTGTGTCAAAAACAAGCTAATCAGAGAAGCGCAGAGCTGCATTTCTTGGGGGTCAGAGGGATAGTGCAGGAGACACCCCAGAACTTCGTATGGAAGGGAGAAAGGCAGCTCCCCAAGGAGGCAAAGTGGGCGCCATGGTGTTGTTGGGGGAAGTGGTGAGCCCGTGGGGGACCATGTGAAGCAAGGGACAGTGGGTACCAGGGCATTACCACGATATCTCAATCCTTACCCTGTAAGGAAGGTAAACTAGCCTCTTCACAAAGGGGAAACTGAGGCTCAGAGAGGGAGGACTAGCCTGGGCTGACTCAGGCAGAAGTGGCAATGGCAGGGTTTGAACCCAGCTCTCTCTCCCCGCCCCCTCGGGGGACAGAGAATCAGCTTCCTCTATTCGGGGACACTGGTGATGGCTCCCCCATGCTGACTCAGCCTGGGGCCTGGTGAGCTAAGGAAAGGCGGTCCCCAGGGATCAGAGGTGGCGGTCCCCAGGGATCAGAGCTCCCCAGACGCTCTGGGGAGCGTTTCTGGCAGGATCTCAGGTCCGGGCAGGCCACGGCGGGAACAGGCCCAGGGCGCACGGCTGAGCTGGGCAAGGGGTTCCCCAGGCCAGGACTGCCTGCTGCACATCGACTCAGGCAGAAGTCAGAGTTAGAGGCTGTGCTGGGAGGCTGGGGGGCTTGGGTCCCCCCGGATGAAAGCTCTGGTCCCTCCCCGTAAACACTCCTATCAGACACGCATCGCGCGCATGCACACAGATGCCGTTCATGCCTGCACGCACATCCATCACGCACACACACCACGCACGCGGCACAGACACGCACCCCCATACGCACGCACTAGACCTGCGCTCACCTTGGCGGATGCACAGCCCTCCCCCCAGAAGCCCGTGCTCATCCATGCTCCCTACATGAAGAAACTCTAGATGACGCCAATCCTCGCCTTGTTACAGATGGAGAAACTGAGGCCCAGACCAACATGCTGTCTACACTCTTCCCTAATTGTGGGTAAGAGCTGACACCCCTCTGAAGTGAGGAGGCCTGGGTTCAAATCCTGACTCTGCCAACCACTGCTAGGATGCTTTTGATAGATGACATCCTCTGTGCCTCAGTTTCTCCACCTGGAAAATGGGAGTAAGAGTAGACAGGGCACTTATGGAGTTAGCCCAGGTCTTCCCCTGGAGGGGAGGGGGCTGTGAGTGGCTGGGCCTCGCTTTTCTCATGTGTAAAGCGGGGAGAATGTGCCCACCTCGGGCGGAGTGGCTTGCAGATTGAACTGAGAGAGGGCACGCAGCTGCGGCGGCGACAAGCCCCGCACACACGGCGCGGCACGCACTGGTCCGGACGCCTCTGTTGGGTGGCTGGGTCCCGCAGAGATGCCGAGACACGGAGTCCCCGACATCGTTCGCTCAGGCGTGGCGGGTTCGGGTCCCGGCTGTGGCCCGGGCCTCAGTTTCCCAGTCTGCAACCTGTGGGAGGGCACTTCGGAACTGGCACGCCGCCCCCGGAAGGGGCCCGCGGCGAGGGCGCAGGTGGGCACCTGGCGGGCCTCCCGGCGGGGGCGCCGCGCCCGGCTCCTTCCGGGTCGCGGCGCGAGGGGCGGGGGCCGCGCGAGGGGCGGCCGAGGCCGGAGCGCGCGCCCCGCCCGCCTCCCGCCCCGCGCTGGGACCGCTCGCGCGTCCGGGCGGCTGGCGGCGGCGCGGGCGGGGCGCGCGCGGGCGCGGAGGGCGGCGGGCGCAGCATGGGCGGCCCGCGGGCCTGGGCGCTGCTCTGCCTCGGGCTGCTGCTCCCGGGCGGCGGCGCCGCGTGGAGCGTCGCGGGAGCCCCGTTCTCCGGGCGCAGGTAAGGCTCCCCCGCTCGGTGCCGCCCGCGCGGCCGGGGACCTGGAGTCCGGGCACACGCGCACCGCCGCCGTGCGAGGCCGGGACTGGAGGGCGACCCGTGCCCGCCCCGGTGCCCGCGGGCGCGGGCGGGGACCGCCGCCGCTGTCTGAGAAGCCCGGGAGCGCGAGGTCCCGCAGCCGTGTCCCGAGCCGCAGCCCCTCCGCGGGGGAGGGGAAGGGGCACGCGCAGGAGGACGAAGCCCCCCAGGACTTAGGTCGCCCTGGCCCGAGGGCTCCTCCCCCTGCACGTGGGAAAGGCCCACGAGCCCTCCTCGCCGACTCTTCGGGGACCCCCCTCTCCCCTTTCCCTGCTCCTGGCTTTTTTTAGTACCCGGCTATTAATTCCCCTCGGAGGAAGGGCTGGGGTGGAGCCTCAGCCCACTGGGTCCTGTCGGAGGCTCCCCGGGGACCTGGCATTTGGAACTGGGACAAGAGGAATCCTTCTGCCTTCCTGCTGCTCTCCTAGGGGCTGGGGACATTCTCTGGCTGGCCTTTACAGAGTATCTCCCGGAACCTGGCACCCTGGGGCTCTTACCTATGGTGTCACCATTAATCCTTCAAGGGCCTAATGGAGCAGGGAAAACGGACCCCATTCAACAGATGAGCAGACTGAGGCCCCAGAGGATCGACATCATCTTCTAGGCTCATGGGTTATTAATTGCAGAGCTGGGTTCCAATCTGAGTTTCTGGCCTTGAGGACAGTGTTGGAACCTTCCCCGGCTGGTGTCCTGGCTGCAGCAGCCCCTGCCCCCCCTAGTCCCCTCTCACCGGCCAGGCGCCGCCGCTGTCCAAGGCAGACAATGTGGAGTAGCCAGGCCTCTCCAGGCCTTTTCATCCCATTCAAAGGCCTGCCCGGCCCCTACCCCCTACGGCCTCAATTCTTTAACTCTTTTCAGAAATTCCCCTTTCCCAGTGGTCAGGGGCCAGCGTGCCCCGCTGGGCTAGCAAGAGCAGGTGACATGGGCTGGGCTGGAGCATGGAGGTGGCTGAGGCATCACGGCCAGAAGAGCAGTTGTCTGAGACAGGGACGGACACGTGGCAGATGTCACAGCCACCACCTACTGTGTGCTGACGACAATGGCTGGCCTGGATCTGTCACCTCCAGAATCTTCCCGACTGCCACTGGCGACTTGTTTCATAGAGGAGAAAGCTGAGGCTCAGAGAGGGGGTATGACCTGCCCGGAGCATGCGTGTGAGCCCCAGGACCCCGGATGCTAAGATGACGGAGACTTTGAACTCAGAATTCCCAGTGTCAGGCTCAGGATGATGGTCAGAGAGCTTAAGGCCATGAAACCCCTCCACCCAGTCCAGGGCAGGGCCCTCCAGCCCGGACTCCTAGCCCCCCAGGGTTTCTTGGGTGGGAGCAGGATGGCGGCTATGGGCAGGAGGTATCTGGTGATCAATGGGGACTGTCACCCTATCTGTTCACAGCTGGCTGTCACAGTAGCCTGAGCCTCACAAAAGCCCTGTGGGCAATACTATTGCTCCCATTTTACAGATAAGGAGACTGAGTCCTAGAGGGGGAAAGTGGCCCCTCAATCCAGGCCAGTTTCCAGATCCAGTGTCTTTCTCTCCTCAGCAGCGCTCCTTGGAGGAGGGAGAGGGGTTGTCAGCTTAGGGGCTTGCGAAACGTTTCTAGGTCATGGTTAGAAGTTAGGGGCTCTGGCCTCAGACAGAACGAGGTTTTATTCCTGCCTCCATCACCCACTGGATGTGTGATCTGAGGCAGGTCACTTCTCAGTTTTCTCTCTGTTTCCCTCTTTTTCCTTCACTTATCCCTGCTCGGGGCCTGTTCTGAGGGTGACAGTCCCCCTGGGAAGGACAAGCACAGGACCTCAAGGACAGTGATTCCTGCTTTCACCAGCATTGCGTGGGGTAGGAGCCTGGGACCAGAGTCTGGTCCTCAGCTGCCAGGGCCTCCGCTTGTGGCCCTGTCCCAGTGTCACTGGAGACAGCATGGGGATGTCATGCTCTGTCAGCCTTCCCTCCACCCCCAGCCCGGGGCTCCAGGCACCCCTTGGCAGCCGAGGGACCAGAGGCAGAAAAGAGGCTTTGTCCTCAGGAGGGGGTGGCCTGGGAAGGCATCCAAGGGGCCGCCCCCAGCCCCAGGAATGTGGTAAGACTTTGAGACCCCCGGAACCAGGGTCCCCAGGGGCTGTGCAGAGCTGCCTTGGCTGGCCCCTGCCCCTGCCAGCCCCTCACGCCCTGCTGGGGCTGCTTCCTGCCCCACGGAGGTCCCGCCCAGCCTGAAGCCACTTCCTTTAACTGCTCATCTCGGCGAGCAGCTCTAGGGTTCAAGCCATCGCAGCGTCCTGGCACAGGCCACTGACCCCCGTAGCACGGGCTTCCTTTGGGAAAATCCCAGGGTTGGGGCGGGTGGGGAGCTCTGAAATGCATGCTGTCTCCCCAGCCGCTCTCTGCGGGGCTCAAATCCCAGCTCTGTGCACCCTGGGCAGGTGCTGTCTCTTGGAGCCTCAGTTTCCCCCTCTGTAAAATGCAGAGCCTGACAATCCCTATCCCAAAGTCAAGGAGAGGACCTTATGAAGGAGACACTGTGCTGGTGTCTCCTGGGACACAGCTTCTCCTGGGAAGCCCCTGGGCCACAGCTGCCGGGTGTGGGGCCCATGTCAGGGCTGTGGCCCCAGAGTCCAGGAACAAGAGTTAGCAATAGCTGTTATCGCTGTGCTAAGCGCTTTGTGTGGCACCTCCCCTGCCGGAGGAGATTCTGCTGTCCCCATTTGCAGATGCACAGAGTGAGGTCAGAGAGGGTCAGGGCCTTGTCCAAGGTCCCTGATTTAGGAAGCAGCAGGGCCGGGGCTGGAATTTCACCCCCAGTCTGGGGTTCTGGCTCTTGTCACCCCACCCCCAGCCAAGTGTGTGCGCCTTTCTCTCCTCCTTTTCATGACGGCCTTGGCCCGGGGCCTGCTTGGCTGCCTCCGCAATTAGCCCCTATAGCTGTTCCGGATCGCAGCCCCGGGCCCTCTGGAGACAAAGTCCCCTGGGCCCCCGTGGCAGGAGGTAGAGTGTGGGTATAGGTGTGGGGCCCCGGTGGGGTTGGCCAATGCCAGGCTGAGCTGGTCTGGCCTGTTTTCTCCCTCCCAGGGGCCCACTTCTGCTGAGTGAACAGAAGTGGCGCACCCTGAGCCCCTGTCCTCACCTTGCCTCACCTGGCAGCTGATGCTGACCACACCACAGCGCGGGAAGGCCCCGGGGCAGCAGGGATGGTACCTATCTCTTGGAACCTGCTGGCTGCTCTGCCCAGGACCATAGTCCATTCTCAGTCATCCAGTCATTCAGCAAACATCCCTGAGCATAGTCCCACTGCATTTCCTCCCCCTGCACCTGCAGGAGAGAATATAGCTCAGAGCTAGTGAGTGGCTCACGGGTGCCCCCGGAGAGGCCCAACCCCACCTGGGCCTCAAGGCTGAGGCCCAAGGGGATGAATAGGAGTTTGCTGGAGCAAGGGGAGGGGCTCTCCAGGCAGAGGGATCCTCCCATGCTAAGGTCAGAGGCGGGAGGGGGCTGCACAGTGTGCAGGAGAGGCGAGCAGCATGAGGAACGAAGGACAGGGCCGGCGCGGCGTGCAGCCGGTGGGGAGCCGTCGTGGGCAGTGGCAGCGCTGGGTCTGTGTCGTAGGAAGAGCCCGCAGCTGCCTGTGGAGCGTGGACAGAGGGCAGGATGGCTGCCAGGCCAGGCAGGGGCCCTGCAGAGAAACTCAGGCCTGCGCTGGGTGCCCCGGGGCTGGGTCCTCAAGGGGAGAGTGGGCACGGTTATTGGTGGGGGAGGGGGCGAGGGGCTGACCCTGAACCCACCCGGCTTTGGTGTCTCTTCCTGTCTGAAATGTCTGGCTAGCCAGCCACCAGCTCCATGTCTCCTAAGCAGGGATTCGAGCAGAGTCCAGATTGTGGGAGATAAACCAGGGAGCCAGGCAGGGGCCCACATGAGGGAGATTTTAATTAAGGAAGAAGGAAAAAAAATTGTTTTTCTCTAGCTTCCCTGGTAAAAAGGACAGCTCAGGCAACTGTGGACGCTCACAGGCCCGTTTCCCCCTGCCCGTCTAGGACTCACAGCCCTGTGTGTGACTGGGCCTGCCTCTGCCTGTTTGTGTATATGTAAGAGGTGTGTGTGCACGTGTGTACATGAGTGAGGGCACGCAGACCTGTGTGGACATGTGCAGAGATCACAGCTGCAGCCTGTGTCCCTGTGAGAGGCGTGTGTGCGTGTGTTGGTATGTGAGTGTGTATGCAAGTGTGGACATATTTGCAGGGAGGAGGTTCGACTGTGATTGTGTGTCCCTGGAAGAGCGCCGACAAGCGTGTGTGTCCTGGTGTGTACATGTGTGTGCATGTATGTGACGGCTCACAGTACTGTGTCTGCGGGTATGGACTTGTGCAGGGAGGATGGTCATTTGTGTGCCTAAGGGTCCTGCTGGATTTGACGTGGTCTGTCTGTGTGCACGAGTGTGTATGTTATCCGTGTGCTTCTGTAGATCTGTGCGTGCACACAAGGACATATGTGTATTTGTGAATTGTATGCACATATGCATGTGTATGTCCGTGTGCATGTGCTCACTGGTGGGCATGTTTGCCCGTATGCCTGGATGTGCATTTGCATGTGTCCACACCATGTGTGCATGAATTTGCATGTGTGTGCATTGCATGTGCATATTTGTGTGCATTTGCACACTGGCGTAGCGTATTCACGCTGTGCCCAGGAGCCCCTTCCTGAGTCTAGAGTTTTTCACTTTCCTCTGCCAGGTTACTCCCTCCTTCCTTCTCTCCTGTACTCATGGAGCCCCCATGCAGGCTGGGGAGCAACACATAGGCTGCAGGGAGCCTGTGAACCCCCTTAACTCGCACACCAAGTTTTACACATTTTTCTAGAGAGGAACCACATTTCCCAAAGGGGTTTATGTCCCCACCCTCCATACATACCCTAATGTATGCAAAGCCACAGCTCTAGAGACCTGAGGCTCTGTAGGATGGAGAGCCTTGAAATGTATCTTTTTAAACTTGTAAAATCCTTTTCGACTTGTCCGGAGAAACATTTCCGGCCTGGGGTTCATAGTGCAAGCTCTGGGACCAGGGGACCTGAGTTCCAGCCCGGACTGGTGCCCACTGCATATCCTAGACCCCAGAGCCACAGTCTTTCCAGCTATGAAGTGGAGCCATAGCAGGGTGCAGGTCAGTGCAGTTTGGGGGCTCAAGCCTGTAATCCTATCACTTTGGGAGGTCACGAGGCAAAAGGATCATTTGAATCCAGGAGATCGAGACCAGCCCGGGCAACATAGTGAGACCCCCATCTCTACAAAAAATTTAAAAATTAACCAGGCTTGGTGGCACTTGCCTGTAGTCCCAGCTACTCGGGAGGCTGAGGCAGGAGGATTGCTTGAGCCCAGGAATTTGAGGTTGCAATGAGCTACGATGACGCCACTGCACTCTAGCCTGGGCAACAGAGCAAGACCCTGTCTCAAAGAAAACAACCAACCAAACCAAAAATCACCCTGCAGAGCCAAGAGTTGAAAAAAAAAAAAAAAATAGGGTGCAGAATTTAAATGAGCTACGCATGCCAGGCCCTGGGCACAACTCCTGGCATGCAATGAGTGTGGTAAATTGAGCTGCTGTTCATGGGGGAGACAGAGCAAATGGAAAGCCCTCCTCACCTCCAGGGGTGGCAATTTGAGAAGAGTGTAATTTTTTCTAACTTTATGCACACATATCTGTATATATGCACACATGTGTAAATAGTTCTCTCTCTCTCTCTCTCTCATTTTACTAGAAATGCAGTCATCCTATATCATTACTCAGTACTTGCTTCATTTCCCCGAGCCCTGCGCGACAGCCGGTGTTCAGGCCCAGCGTCGGACACCTTGGGCCTCGTCAGAACATCTGATTTCCTGTGCCTGGTGGTTCCATGGCTATTTAGGCTTTTCCCAGCTCTGTGCCATTCCTGATGGGGCTATAGCAAGCACCTGTCCCTTCTGCGTAGGATGGCTGGCTGGGGCTCTGTTGAGCTCCTGCCACTTCATGGACAGGCTGGGCTGTCCCTTCTTCCAGCCTTGCCACCTCCAGGCCTTTGTCCCGGCTATTTCCTCCTCCTGCACTGATTCCAGCGTGACAGAGACGGGTGAAGGGACTTAATCCCTAGCCCCCTACTTCAAGTTAGTTGACTGGTCCTGGCCAGGGACTTTCTCCTTCTGGTGGGCTGGGGTGGGGGCAAGGCAGCAGCCATCGGGGGCTGAATGGCGGTGGGCGAGGACACCTCGGTGCTGGCTGGGACATTCCAGGTGCTTGGTGGTGCTTGTCCCTGCACGGGGTCATGGGCACTGTGTGTTTTTTGCAGGGGGTGGGGAGGGAGGGATGGTTTCAGGTGACCCTTCTCGGCCTGGTCGCTTCCCACCCCCCACACTTTCCTTTGTGGCCTCAAGCCCAGGGTCACTGGGTTCCCAGGCTGGGGCCTTCACAGAGCCACAGACCATAGCTCTTAGAGATGGGGAGGGGAAAGGAGCTGAGGCCTCTGGGATGGAGTCAGAAGCTGGGCCAGGCCATCCACATTCCTGAGTTCAAATCTGGCTTCTCTATGCACCAGCTCTGTGACATGAGCAGTTGTCTTCACCTCCCGGAGCCTCAGTTTCCCCTCTATGAATGGGGGCAGGGGAGTGCCTTCCTGGCTCACCATTGCACAATAGTGTAAATACCCTCTGCACACAGTAAGTGCTCACTGTTGCAGTGCAGCATAATTAGCAGTTGGTATTTGGAGAAGTCAGTCCTCCAGGCTTGGGACATTGATTTCACCTCTCGGCGGGGGGACGTGACCAGGTTTCCATTCTGTGACATCCCTCTAGGGAGGGACCAAGGAGCAGGAGGAGAGGCCACTGAGGTTGCCCAGGTGGGAGGCAGGAAGCAATGGTGGCCTTGATGGGTTGAGGTTGGAGAGAAGAGATGTGAGGAGGGGGAGCCCCGTGACGTGCCCCACCCCCATCTTGCGCAAGAGCCCACAGCATGGCCGCCCCACCCAGGGCCATGAAATTCACCTCAGCCACAGAGACTCCCAGCGGGGTCCAGCAGACTCTGCAAGCTCAGCGGTCTCTCGGCCTGGGCACTCACGGCTCCCGGAGGGAATGGGGACCTCCTCGCCCGTCCTACCAGAGTCCCTGGCAGGGGGCCTTGCGTGGCACTGAGCTTCCTCTCTTTGGGTCTGTTTCAGGAACTGGTGCTCGTATGTGGTGACCCGCACCGTCTCGTGCCATGTGCAAAATGGCACCTACCTTCAGCGAGTGCTGCAGAACTGCCCCTGGCCCATGAGCTGCCCGGGGAGCAGGTAGGGACGGAGCTGCTGGCGTTGGGGTGCAGGCAGAGGCCTGGGGGTGGGATGGTGTAGGGAGTGCAGGGCACAGCTGGACCCCAGGGCGGGTGGGGCAAAGGCAGCCTTGGCCCTAGGCCTGTTCTCAGATCGTCCCTTCGTGCTCTCTCGGGGCACCCTGGAGTGCCCCTGGGGAGGGACATGGCCCTGCCTGCAGGGCTTCCTGTCCAGCTGGTGTCCCGTACCCAGGCTGGGGGCTGGGCAGGGAGCGCGGAATCCCAGAATGCAAGAGGAGAGAGACTCCAAGGGGACCTGGAGGTGGCCGAGGATCCTGGAGGTTCTGCGTTTGTCCCCATGGGCGTCCGGGGTGGTGAGAAAAGCCACAGAACACCCTAAGCCGGGCCACCTGCGGACTCTTTCAGCTACAGAACGGTGGTGAGACCCACGTACAAGGTGATGTACAAGACGGTGACCGCCCGAGAGTGGAGGTGCTGCCCTGGGCACTCGGGGGTGAGCTGCGAGGAAGGTAGGATGCCCGGCTGGCTCTGGAGCCCTGCGACGGCAGGCCAGGTGCCTCGCGCAGGTACACAGGAGCGCGGTTGTTCAGTCTGTGGACAGTGCCCATGCACAGAGCCAAGCCTGCTGGAGCCACACGGGCCTGGTGCAGACACAGCTGGTGCCTGTTGTCCCCCCACCCTCTGCGGTGACTCTTGGGAGACTCTCAGGAGAATTTTACACCTGCTGCGCAGCCCACATTTTAAGTCACAGCGTCCCAAGTCTCCCCTCCAAACTTGGGAAAAAGCCATCTGGACGTTCCAGTATGACGTGGTAACAGACACCACGTGGGAACACGGGGCTGTGTCAGTCCGTTCAGGGTCAGAGAGGTAAGCGTGGCTGTGCCCACCCTGCCCGGGGACGCCGGGCTCAGGAAGGCGATAGGCAGAGTCGGGACCCGAGCCCTGTCTGCCCGGCGCCTCTTCCCGCCTCCACCTCTGGGCCTCCGGATGGGAGGACTCGGTTGGGCTCCCATGTGTGGGGCATGTCCCCAGCAGAGGGACTCCTCTCACCCCTCCTACCTTCATTGTGTGAAGGCAGAGCCCGGCCACACTGTCACCTGGAGACCCCTCTCCCCCTCACCCCTCCCGGACACCTGCCTCTGCTGAGCAGTCTGCCCTCCCCCACCCTTCACCTGGCTGAACCCAGCAGGCGCCAGGTTTGGGGACACCAAGAGCTGTGTTCCCAAGCGTGTCCCTAAAGAGGATGGGCTGGCCTAGAAGCAGCCTCGGCCCAGAGATCCCTGGGTGGAAAGAGGGTCCCCGAGGCAGCACGTGGAACACAGGTTGCAGGATGTATCCTGACTCCGGAAACACGAGTGCGTAAAAACGCAGCCTGTGTATCGAGGGGAGATAGTGCTAGTAGGAGCCACCACTCACAGGCGTCTTCTGAGAGATTTTTTTTTTTTTTTTTTTTTTTTTTTGTTATGAAAACGAAATGCATGCATTAAAAAGTTTAAGCAATATAGAAACTAGTAATTAAAAAGCATTTTTTTTTTTTTTTTTTTTTTTGGGTCCAAGCCCCAGAGCACCAACACAGTGGCCACTCTCGCAGGCAAGGACCTTCTGAGAGATTTATACACTTCACCTCCCACAGCCCCTGCAACAGCCCGGTTCACAGATGGGGAAACTGAGGCCCAGAGAGACAGGTTGAGTGCCCAAAATCACCTGGACATGGGGATGGGGGTAAAACTCACCACGAAGTAGGGGCAGGAGGGGGTCTGGTGGGTTCTGATTTGGGGTGGGGGAGTCCCCAGGGGACCTGGGAGGAATATAGTAGCTCGAAGGGGGGCTGGGCCCCCCAGGCCAGACGCCCTGCAGAGCAGCAGCCATGTGGGAGGGGCGTGGGGAACTGCGCCCTGCCCTCCCGGGGGGAGGAAGTGGGGAAGGCTGAGGGCCGGGGCAACGCCAGCCAGGAGGGCAGCTGCCAAGCAGGCCACAGAGGAGCCCCTGTGGGAGGGGCGGATTCCAGGCCCAGACAAAGGCCACTGTGTCCCTGTCTCCCCTCCCAAGGGCAGACCTTCCTGGTGTCTGGGCCTTCAAGGAGAGGGCGAGGGCTGAGTACAGGTGGGGACAGCTCCTGTGCCCTTGAACCCAGCTGCTGGAGGCTGCACATGCAGGAGCCTGGCTGAGGGCTGAGGGCTCGGCCGGGGGTGAGGCGGGGGTGCGAGCCGGCGCCGGGCCAGGCCAACCCTGATGCCTGCCAGTTCCCCCCGTGGGGCCTTCAGGTCCCGGCCTGGGGACGGGGCTACCCAGGGCTCCCTGAGCCAGGCCAGCTCTGCCACACTCCAGCTGTGTGGCCTTGGGCCAGGGACTCCCTGACCATTGGGCAAGTCGTTGTGCAAGGGGCCCGAGCCGGGGTGGGCTGCCATCCAGGTGGCGTTCTTCTCCCGCACACCGGAAGGAGCGTGCTGAGCTGCCGGTGCGCCTGCAGCAGCCTCAGCGTCCTCAGCTGCGAAATGGGCAGGGTGGGAGAGGCCAGGGACGTAGCCGGGATGACATGAAGCAGCAAAGCCCCCGCGCTGTTGGCAGCGCCTGGCAGGTGCTATGTGATGGCCAGTGGGACAGGAGGGGCCTCTCCCAGCCACAGAGTCGGAGCTGAGGAAAGGGAGGTGGGCAAGTGGCTGCCTGAGTATTCCGGAAATCTGCCGTGCTGGGCCGTGGGAGTAGGGCAGCGAGGCGTGGGGACACTCCCCGCCCACCCCGGGCCCCGCCCTTCCTCCCACTGCTGCGTTCAGGCCCGGCTCCTCCAACTGCTTCCCCTGCTGGCGACTGCCCTCGCGGCCTGCCCATGGCTGTGACCTGACCCTGGGCCCGAGAGCCGTGTCACCAGGGGCCGCAGGGCCCAGCGCAGCCTGGGGCGGCTGCATTCCAGACTTCCGCTTGCTCATCTGCGCTCTGCCGTGTGACTTGGGGCAAGTCTGAGCCTTGGCTTTATCTGGAAGTCACCTGGGATTGAGAACTGGGCGCTCAGCCTGGCTCTTAGTAGAGGCTCCCTAAGTGTCTGCCTCTCCCCTCCCGCCCCCGTGCTGGGGGTTCTGTGGTGACCCAGCAGACGCAGCCCTGCCTGCTGCCACCTCCGAGACCCCCTTCTCAGTCCCGGCTACACACGCTGGCCTCGGGGCTCCGGACTCGATGTCTGTGAGGCTGGCGGCTCTAGTGAAGGACTTCCCTGCTCTCAGCCCAGTTTTCCCGTCCGCACGGGGGGGGGGGGGGGGGGTGTTCGCTCTGTGACAAGGAGTGAGGATGGTCTCATTTGATGTTCACGACAGTCTGTGAGGAAGGGGCTAGAACAGGCTCCATTTCACACATGGGGAAACTGAGGCTCAGAGAGGTGAAGGGACTGGCCTATGCAGCAGCCACCTCCGTGTCATCTTGACTCGGGGTCTCCCTGCAGACAGATCTCCCACCCATCAGCCCCTTGTCCAGATGATGACTGCAAGGCCCAGAGAGGGTGTGGGTCACACACCAGGTCACACAGCAGGTAAGCACTGGCCTGAGTTCTGCGGCATCCCCAGGCCCCAGGCCGTTCCGCAGTAATAATGACAAGGGAAAGGAAAGCTGCCACCGTCCTCCCTGCCGAGCACGGCAGTATCCACCTGCGTCGTGCCAGTGTGTCCAGAAGTCAAGGCTGTGGGGGCGGGGGCGCCTTGCCCAGGGTGGGGCCTATGGGCTGAGGAGCCGGATTCAAACCCAGTCAATCTGACTCTGGAGCCAGGGCCTTTCCTCTGCGGCTGAGGACTCCAAGGGCAGCGTGTTCGGGCCGCTGGGGCTCTGCAAGGCTGGTGGGCCGGGCTGCCTCCACTTCCCCCACGTAAGTCCTGTTGTCCTCAGCACTTATGTCCCTTCCCATCCGTGGACCCTCAGCCCTTGTCCTCCGTGATAGGGAAGCAGACAGGGGGAGCTTGCCCAAGGTGACACACCAGAGGCTGCAGTCCGGGCCCTTCCCGGGCCCCCAGCCCCTCCTGCCGCCCAGGGCTGGGCACGTCCCACACACACCTGGCTCTTACCTGGTGCCAGGTGCGGCGCCAGGCCTGTGCTTCACTTTGTAGATGCGGTGTCCCCAGGGCTAAACACTGCGCAAATCCGCCCTCGTCCACCACCGGCCACCCACACTCCTGTCTGGGCAGCCCACACCTCCCCACCGGCCCCTGCCTGTGGGACCAAGGCCCAGTGTTGCCCCAGCCTCGCCTTCCCTCTAGTTGATCCTTTACCCACACTGGCCTCCTGTCCCATTCACGGCCTCAGCGGTGGCTGTCCCTCTGTCTGTGACCCTCTTGGTGCTCCCACCTGGCGGAGGTGGCCCCACCCCGCCGTCACACTTCCTCTTCCCGAGGGCCTGGCGTAAAGCATGTGCCCGGGAATTGAACGGGAACTTTGCCCACCCTGAAGAGGGGGCCAGGCTGGACACAGGCCTCCTGGCTGGGCTTTGGGAGCTCCCGCCCCAGCTGTGACCCTCGCGCCTGGCTCTGACCCCCAGCAGCGAATATTTACATTTGCAAAGTAAATTCCTTGCAGGAGACCTGGGCCGGGCTGGGGAGGAGCCAAGCAGATCTGGGGGTTAGTCTTGAACGAGGAAGCCCCTCCCTTCCCTCCCTCCTGGGAGAGAGAGTGCAGAGGTGGAGTCCAGGGACACGCCCCAACCTTTCACAGCCTCGTTCCCCCTTTAGGGCAGGGTTGGAATCCCACCCTCCCACCGCATGGGCAGAGCAGGCAGCCTCCCCTCTCTGGGCCTCAGTGCTGTCATCTGTCAAGGGGCGCAGAACCTACGAGAAGGAGGAGCTCAGAGCCTCTTAGCCAGGCCTTGTGCTTCAGGCCTTGCACAAGGCCTGAACTCCAGACAGCGCTGGAGGTCAGGACAGGGCGATCAGAGCTCCAGAGGGGGCTTGGGTAGCAGTGGGTGCCCTGGTCTGTCCAGGAAGGCTTCCTGGAGGAGGTGACATGGGCCCAGCAGCTGTAGGGATTGGAGGAAGGCACTCGCACTCATGCATGTGTGAGTGTGTGTTTGTGTGTGTGTGCTCGCGTTTGTGTAAGGCACATGAGGACCTCCCAGATGGTGGGAAGTGGCCCACAGTCGGGCTCCCAGAGTGGAACTGGGGTTTGTGGTCCCAGGAGGAGCCCTTTGGGAGGGACCACTGGGCCAGGGTGAGGGGGGTCTCAGCCACCGAGGCCTGTTTCAGGGCCCCTGGCCAAACACCAGTAGGAGGGATGTGACCTCTTTGTCCAACAGGGGATCTCCCCCCAACCCGTGGCTTCTTCCCTGCTGGAATTTTGTGTGCTGTGGGGCCATTTTATAACCTGGGACGTCCCTTAAAGTATTTCTGTCCATTTATCAGAATTTTGGAGAGTTTTTGGATAATTTCTGTGAACCCTGAATCCAAAGTCAACATTTTCTGGTCTTTTTGACAGTTTTGCTATTTCTTTAAGTTTTTTCTCTCTTTAATGTAAATTCATTATTTACATTATCTTGAGCCTCTTAATCTACGCTGCTGGTCAGGCCGTGTTTCTATTAATTTTTCTAATTCTCTCTGGCTCCTGGCAAAGCATCCAAAAACAAACTGTTTGAAAAAGAATTTCCAACCACAAGTTTACAGATGAATAACTCAGGGACACCCTCATGTGACATTAGAACATTTTGCTGATCTTCAAGACAGTTGTGCCTGCCTTTTGTTTCGTTTGCTTGCTGGAAATTAATTTTCAGCCTGTGATTCATGCGTTCATCAGTTTTACAGACGCTCTTGAGGTCCTACTGGGTGCCGGGCACTTGTTCTGGGCTAAGCACTTCTTTGGGTCAACTTCCTGAAAAGAGTAATAGAATGACGTGTTACATTTCCACCTGGGAGCTAAGAGGATGACCAGGGCTTGGCGGGGCCATGCTTCTTGGGCACCGGTGCTCTTGCTGGACACTGGGCCTCTCTGCTGGTGGCCCCCCAAAAAGAGGTGGGGCCCTGCAGTTGGACTGCCTGGTTCAGATGCAGGCTTTAGACATTCTTGGGGACAACTGTGGGCAAGTCACTCTACTCGTCTGTCTCGTTTTCCTCCAAGGGAAAAAGTAGGGATGGGTCCTACACACTCATCCATTTTTCTGAGCATGGGGGACAGTGAGCTGCCCCATGCCTCAGTTTCCCTGTCTGTAAGGTGGAGGTGAACTAGCACCCACTCACAGTTCAGACTGCGTATACGTGAAGTGCTTAGCGTGTGCGGGGCCCATTCTGCATTTAGTGAACAGGAGGCAGGGCTTGGCTATGGTTATTACCTGCCTGCTAGGACGGAGCGGGGCTGGGTGACGCACGTAGCACGGGCTTGGTTCACAGCCACGGCCCCTGTCCAGAGACCCCAGGGCCTGCCCCAGTCCCGGGCTGGCCACCCACCTTCCTCCATCCTGGGTGAGGTTTACCCCCCGTGTCTAGGCAAGTCACAGGCCCTTGGGGACGCAGGCTCAGCCTGAGCAAAGGCCCCATGGTGGGACCGGAGCAGGGCCTGGCAGCCTCCCCTGGGGGCTGGCCAGGGGGGCCTGTCTGGTTTGAGTTCCCAGCGGCGCCTCCTGCTCCCTGCTTCAACCCACAGCCCAGCTCCGAGCTGCCAAGCCCACGCCTTATTTGGGTCTTGTCTCCCCCCAGACGACACTGCCAGGCCTTAAAAGGCAGGCCCTGGGGGTGGAGGGGCACACTGCCACTGCTGCCCAGCCCCTCCAGCTGTGCCCCCTCCCTCCAGCTGTGGAGAAAACCGGCCCCAAAGCCAGACCAGCCTGGGCAGCTGCTCAGGCAGGGGTGGCGGCCGGGGTGGGCTCCCAGGCAGCCCGCCTCCCTCTGGTTTTCATTTAAAACCAGGGCTGGATCCACTTCGGTCTCTTCTTACCGAGCAGGGCAGGGAGAGTGGGACGGCAGCGGTCGCAGAGGACTGACTGTGTGCCCGGCCCTGTGAGCGCACAGTGGGACCCTCGCACACGGCCATGCTCAGGCTGCACACGAGTAAGAAGCCTTAGTGTCCCATTTCACAGGTGGGGAAATAGGTCCGGAGAGGACAAGTCGCACAGGTCGGTAAAGGATGGGGCTCAGACCCGAGCTTGTCTGAGAGCTCTAAACTCTGAACCCAGGCAGCTGGCTGGGGTCGTTGGGGAAGCCCCCAGCCTCATCCTGGTCACCAGCCCCATCCAGTGGCCAGCCTTGCCCCAGCTCAGCCCAGCTCATGCTGTGTGGCCCAGGTGAATTGCTCCACCTCTCCGAGGGGAGGGGGGATCCCTGCTAGGACAACAGTGGAAGCAGGGGGCCCGAGGAGCAAGGATGGCAGGGCTGGCGGAGCGCTCACCCTCTCCGTCCCTCAGTCGCAGGCTCTGCTGGCTTCGTGGAGCCCGGGTGGCCGGGCAACACCATGCGGCGGATGGCGCTTCGGCCCACAGCTTTCTCAGGTGGGTCCTGGGGTGGCTTTTGGGGGCTCCCCTGGGCTGGGGGATACCTGCAGGGGCCCAGGACGGCGTGGCTACTGTTCTAAAAGGCGGCCAGGTCGAATAGTGGAGGGTCAAGGACAGGACTCCACCCCCAGGCTGGACAGAGCGCTTCAAGAACCAGAGGAAGGGCCCAGGCACCCCGAAACCCAGGACCCCCGGACACCTGCAGACGCAGGCCCAAGCCCCCGTTGACTCATTTTATCCAAATGATGCTTTTCTGAGTGTCTGAGTGTGCCAAGCCTTGTGCCGGGCACTTGCCATGGTCAGCTCCTTTAAACCTCACAACTATCCACACACCCCCCCCGCATTGTCCCTATTTTATAGAGGCGGAAGCTGAGGGTCAGAGGGGACACCTGCCCTGCCCAAGGCCCCACACCCATGAGGGGGCAACACTGGGACTGGCTCCTGGGTACTGTACTTGTTGGACACCCACTCACCCCTACCCTGAGCTCAGTGTCCTCAGGTGTGAATGAGGGTGACACCCGGCTCAGGCACAGGGTCATGGTGAGGGCTGGAGAGACCAGCTGGCTCAGCACGGGGTGGTAAATACCCGGGGCTGTTACAAATGACTCGGGTCTTTCACAGAGGGGGCCAGGGTGGAGGAGCTGGACAGTGTTTGGGGGAGGGTCACGGGATGGCACCTCTGAGGCCAGCCCAATCCAGACTGTGCTGTCAGTCACCAAAGGCCTAGCCCTGCCCAGGCAGGAAGCAGCAGTATTTCCTGGCCTGGCTTCTGGGAAAGGGGTCGTTTTGGACACAGAGGCTGCCAGAAGTCAGGTCTCTGGCCCTGCTCTGGGAGAAACGGTCTGTGTGGACGCTCTGATGTCCAAGGGAGCGCACAAGGCCGGATCCATCCTGGACCCAGTGCGATTCTGTAGCCCCGCCCCCACACTGGCTTCTGCATAGGCTGGGGTCATCAGGTGGCTGTCCCCTCCCTCCAGCCCTCCCCCGGGGCTAAAGGGCTCCGAGAGGGAACCTGGGACCTCTGGCCACAACCCCAGCCTCTCCCCTCCCTGCAGGTTGTCTCAACTGCAGCAAAGTGTCAGAGCTGAGCGAGCGGCTGAAGGTGCTGGAGGCCAAGGTGGGTGAGCACTCCCCCTCCCCCCGGCCCCTTCCTCGCACGCGTGCTGGGTGCCTGGCCCTCAGCAACCCACAGCACAGCCCTGAGCTGACTCTGCAGGCAGCTTCCCCTGCCGGACACGCCTGGCCTCTCCTCCAGTGCCCCTCCCTGGGAAGCCCGCTCACAGGCTGTGCCTCAGTTTCCCCATCTGTAGAGTGGAGGTGATACTAGCACCCACTTACAGTTAAGACTGTAGGGCCAGGCGCAGTGGCTCACGCCTGTAATTCTAGCTCTCTGGGAGGCCGAGACAGGTGGATCGTTTGAGCTCAGGAGTTCGAAACCAACCTGAGCAAGAGCGAGATCCCGTCTCTACTATAAAAAATAGAAAGAAATTAATTGGCCAGCTAATATATATAGAAAATATTAGCCGGGCATGGTGGCACATGCCTGTAGTCCCAGCTACTCAGGAGGCTAAGACAAGAGGATCGCTTGAGCCTGGGAGTTTGAGGTTACAGTGAGCTATGATAATGCCACTGCATTCCAGCCTGGGCAACAAAGTGAGACTCTCTCAAAAAAAAAAAAAAAAAAAAAAAGACTGTATATGTGGGCCAGACACAGTGGCTCACACCTGTAATCCCAACACTTTGGGAGGCTGAGGTGGAAAGATCACTTGAGGCTGGGGATTAGAGACCAGCCTGGGCAACATAGTGAGATCTCATCTCTACAAAAAATTTAAAAATTAGCTGGGCATGGTGGCAACTACCTGTAGTCCCAGCTACTAAGGAGGCTAAGACAAGAGGATCGCTTGAGCCTGGGAGTTTGAGGTTACAGTGAGCTATGATAATGCCACTGCATTCCAGCCTGGGCAACAGAGCAAGACCCTGTCTCAAAACACAAAAAAGAAAGAAAAAAGTAAGTCATTCGGGCCGGGCGTGGTGGCTCACACCTGTAATCCTAGCACTCTGGGAGGCTGAGGTGGGAGAATTGTTTGAGCACGGGAGTTCGAGACCAGCCTGAACAAGAGCAAGACCCCATCTCTACTAAAAAAAAGAAAAAAAGAAAAGAAAGAAATTAGCTGGACAACTAAAGATTATATGTATGTGTGTGTGTGTGTGTGTGTATATATATATATATATATATATAAATAATTAGTTGGGCATGGTGGTGCATGCCTGTAGTCCCAGCTACTCGGGAGGCTGAGGCAGGAGGATTGCTTGAGCCCAGGAGTTTGAGGTTGCTGTGAGCTAGGCTGATGCCACGGCACTCTAGCCTTGGGCAACAGAGTGAGACTCCGTCTCAAAAGAAAAGAAGTAAGTCATTCTGGATTTAGAAGCATGAAAAATATCAGAAATGTGAAAAAACATCCAGAAAATCATTCACAGCAATTTTCCGTGCCCCCAAAGAGAGCCACTGTTGACATTTAAGCATCTTTTTTCCAGATTTTCTAAACATGTGTACGCATGTGTATACATGTGTACACCTAGGTGCATATCCTGTACTCCACCTCTGGGAATTTAGCTTAAGAAATCAATCAGATGCGAAAATGTTCACCAAAGTGTTAACGATCAGTAGAGAAATTTGCAAACCAGGGCACAGAAGGGTGGTTGCATAGCTATGGGCATCTGCTCTGTGGAATACTAGGCACCCATTTAAAATACTTCTAACAGGAACAGGTGCCTTTGATGTAATGAAGCTTCTAAACAGCAGGTGCTAGAACCCACGCTCCCAGCTGGGGAGGCCAGCCTGAGAGGCAGCTCAGTCCTAGGTCTGCCTGAGAGCCTCAGCTTTTCTCTGGACAGGCCCACGTGACCCCCACAACCCGGCTGATGGGACACCACCAACTTTCCAGAACCTTCCTCACCCTGCGCCCAGAAATGGATTTTGTGTACACCTCCGGGCCTCTATTTCATGTCAGATCCTCCCAAACTTCTCTCCAAATTTAGCGAACATTCTCCCAGCTATAACCCTGTGGTGCTTTAACCGACTGAGAGAAGCTTCTGTTATTTATGTAGATAGGCGTAGAAAACAACCGTGGCCCAGCATGGCGATCACAGAGCCCAACTTGGGTGGCAGTGATGGTGTGTGATGGTGCTTCCACAATGAGCGTCATGAATTGTGCACTTGGGAAAGCTGAGTCACTCCTGGTGTTGTTCTGGGTCCCCACGCCATGCTGGGCTCTGCTGGCTCTGGGCCTCTTGCACCAGGTTCCCCTGGGCTGGCCTGTCCCTGATGATACCCTGGTACCATCCTGTCCCTGTCTCCCTCTTCCTCCACAGGTGGCCATGCTGACTGTCACGGAGCGGGCAGTGCCCCCCACCCCAGCGGCCCCTGAGGACCCTGCCCTGCTCTGGGGCTCCCCGGCTGCCCAGGGCAGCCCTGGAGATGGAGGCTTCCGGGGTGAGTGGGTTGGACCAGAGCGTGCTCCCGTGGGAGATTCGGGACCCCGCCCTGCCGCTGACTCCCAGCTCCACCCCCTAGTGGGCCTCAGTCTCTCAGCAGGGTGGAGCTGGGGGTGGGCACTCTGGATGCTTCTCCGTCCCCAGCCCAGTGGGGACACTGAGCCCTGCCTCCCCCCCACCCCAGGGCTGCCAGGAGCCAGAGAGAGTGTGAGGGCCCCGCTGCTCCCTCAAGATGGTAGGTGCTGGCTGGGGGGCTGGGGCCAGGCTGGGGGCCGGGAGCAAGTCTGGAGCTGCTGACCTAGTGCACTTTGCCCCCCAGACCGAGTCGGTGCTCGGGGGCTGCCTGGGCCCGCTGGCCCGAAGGGAGACACCGGCAGCCGGGGCCCAGCGGGGATAAGAGGCCCCCCAGGTGAGTACCCACGACACTGACCCCCACCTCGCTTCCTTGGCCATCCCCCCATGGGGGGACCCAGGCTTGGGCCTTCCTTCCCTGCCCCCACTAACACGGCCCAGGTGGCCGGGGCCCTGCGCCCACTTGCTTCTCCACGCCCCACCCCTCCGGCGCCCACTCACGCCTAGCCTCCCTGAAACCCTTTCTTGGGTTACTCAGCCCGTGTTCCCCGGGCATCTGCATCAGCCGGCTCCGAGCTGGGCGCTAGGTGGGCTCAGACATGTCCCTGCCCTCCTGGAGCTCCCAGACCAGTAGGCATAGGGGCTCAGCAGGGGGGAAACGGCAGTGCACGCTGCAGGTGACCAGGGCCCCTGTGGGGCCTGTGGAGGGTACGGCAGCCCCCCGGAAGGAGGCTCAGCTGAGTGGGTGGAGGACAGGGGTGCTGTGCTCACCCCTCACAGATGGCCATGGAGGACAGGCCCACTGCCCTGGCTGCCTTGTCCTGCCTCCTCGAGGCCACCCTGGGCCTCCCTGCCTCCTGCACACCCCCAACCACTGTGATTCCATTGCAGGTCCGCAGGGTCCCCCAGGGAGCCCTGGCCAGGCTGGAGCAGTGGGCAGCCCTGGAGAGAGGGGACCTTCAGGCCCACCAGGGCCTCCTGGGCCCCCTGGGCCCCCAGCTCCCACTGGGCCAACTCATGCCCGGATCTCCCAGCATGGTGAGTCCCCCGGGGTCCTGGCAGGTCGAGGTCGGTGTGGGGTGAGAGTGGGGTAGCCGTCACTGCAGTGCCCGCTGCCATCTGCTGGCACCTTCTGTGTGGCGGGCTCGCTCACGGTAGGCCACATATCACCCAGTCCTACAAACGGGTACTGTTGTCCTCCTGTGTTCACAGATAAGGAACACAGTGCCAGAGAGGGGAGGTCACCTGCCAGGGTCCCACCGCCAGGGCATGGTGGAATGGCCTCAAATCCAGGCAGCCTCCAGGGCCTGTGCTCAGAGCCACCTGGCACCCGGCCCTCCTCACGCCTTGGAGCTGGCCAGAGTCCAGCCCTCGGCAGCGGGAATGTCAAGGCCCAGCAGCAGGCAGAGAGCCCCAAGCTCCCAAGGCTGCAGGCCTGGCCCTGTGCTCAGAGGGGCCCCGAATCCTCCTCCCAGCGGGGCCTTGACCTGTGTCCTTGTCCTCCTCCCTTTGGCAGCCCAGCCTGACCTGCACGTGGGGCAGAGTGTGGAGCCAGGTTCAACCTCATCTCCATCGTGTCATTGGTGCATGGCCCGCACCATGTCACTCATTCCTCCTCCCACCGTCCGTTCTATCCGCTATTCATTCTCCCTCTCCAAGCCTCAGTTCCCATCTGTCCGGTGGGGACAGTGACAGTGCCAGCCTCCCAGAACTCTGTGATGACACTCAGAGAAGCCTGCCTCTCTGTAGATGGTCAGCAAATGGTAGCTTTTATCATTCCCATTTGACAGTCACGACAGTACAGGCTCAGCAAAGTGGAGAGTCCTGCCGTGTGTCACCAGCTAGACTGCACTGGGGCTAGAACCCCAGTTTCCCTGCCTCCTGGTCTTGCGTGGCCAATGCTGGCCCCACTTCCCACCCTGGGAGCAGGTGCCCAGTGGCCCCAGCCATGCTGCAGGCTGCCCTGCAGGGCAGTCAGAGCTGTCTTGGTGGAGGTGGCCGCTGAAGACTGACCACCCACTCCGCCCAGCTCTGCTCACTCACTGTCTCTCCTCTCCCAGGGGACCCCTTACTGTCCAACACCTTCACTGAGACCAGCAGCCACTGGCCCCAGGGACCCACTGGGCCCCCAGGCCCCCCAGGCCCTGTGGGTAAGTTGAGTCCAGGCCTGGGGTAGGGGGTGGAGTTAGTAGATGGCAGAGGGAGGGCCGTGGCTGTCAGGAGGAAGCTGATGGGGGACTTCCTGGCATTATACTCTGTCCTGGCCCTGAGGACGTCCTGTCTTCTTCCAGGTCCCCCTGGACCTCCTGGCCCCACAGGTGTCCCTGGGAGTCCTGGACACATGGTGAGTTGTTCTCTAAGTGCTCCCACCCCTATGTCCCTGAATCCATTTATCCATCCTTTCATTTATTCATTCATTCATTCAATTAGTATTTATTGATCATTTAATATGCAAACTACTTTCTGTAATCTTCTCATTCAATCCATGTAACAAGAAGCAAGTATTACTTGTTACCACCTAAGGCCAGAAAAGTAAATTCTCGCCCTAGGGGTGTGGCCAGCACATGGCAGCATTTATGTGTTGGAGCGGGACTGTCTGACTCCAGACTCAGTCCTCTTAACACTGAGCTGCATGAGCTGCCCACTGTGGTCCAGGCCTTGGGTAGAGAACCCCTCCCCAGCACCCCTGCCCCCCAATCCCCTGCCCACTTCATCCCACCCGCCCAACACAAGGCTGAAGCCCTGTCTTGTTCCACAGGGACCTCCAGGCCCCGTCGGACCCAAAGGACTCTCTGGCCACCCAGGAGAGAAGGGCGACAGAGTGAGTAGCCAGGCAGCCCTGCATCGGGCATTCTGGGGAGTCCTGGGGACCCCGGGTCAGAGCCCCCAATAGCTGACGCCACTCCTCTCCTCCCTTCTACGCAGGGACTGCGCGGGGAACCCGGCCCCCAAGGCGCTGCGGGGCAGCGGGTAAGTGATGCTGTCCCTGCAGCCACCCCTGCAGGGTCCCCCAGGCCCAGACTCCCCTCCCGCTCGGGCTCCAGCCTCTGTGACCAGAGCCCCTAACCCTCCCTGTTGGGTCCAGGGTGACTCCATCTACTCTCAGCAGCTCCCTGTCTCTGGGACCCATCATTCTCTTAGGATCTCCCGCTGTGTGTCTGTCTCTTGGACTCTATTTCTCTCTCTCTCTCCATCTCTCCACCTCTGACTGCAGATTGTTCTACTTCTCCCTTTAATTTGGTCCATTTTTGCTTTATATATTTTGTTTTCGTTTTTGAGACAGAGTCTCACTTTGTTGCCCAGGCTAGAGTGAGTGCCGTGGCATCAGCCTAGCTCACAGCAACCTCAAACTCCTGGGCTCAAGCGTTCCTCCTGCCTCAGCCTCCCGAATAGCTGGGACTACAGGCATGCACCACCATGCCCGGCTAATTTTTTTTCTATATATTTTTAGTTGGCCAATTAATTTCTTTCTATTTTTAGTAGAGACGGGGTCTCACACTTGCTCAGGCTGGTTTCAAACTCCTGACCTGTAGCAATCCACCTGCCTTGGCCTCCCAGAGTGCTAGGATTACAGGCCTGAGCCACCGCGCCTGGCCTGCTTTATATATTTTGAATCTTTGTTATTAGGTGCATACACATTTAGGATTTTAATATCTCCTTGGTTATTTTACTTAGGAAATTAATATCTTTTTGCTTGAGCCCAGGATTTCGAGGTTGCAGTGAGCTATGATCACTGCACTCTAGCCTGGCTGACAGAGCGAGGCCCTGTCTCTAAAAAAAAAAAAAAATAGAAAAAAATGAAATTAATACCTTAATATCTTTACCTCTGATAATACTCGTCTTTATTTTTTTATTCTTTATTTTTTACATAGCACCCGCCCTCCAATACTTGTCTTTAATTCTAACTTTGCTATTAACGTTGCCACACCAGGTTTCTTACACGTGGCATTTGCATGGCATGTCTTTTTCAATCCTTTTTCTTTCAACCTGTGTCTTTATATTTAAAGCACATCATCACTTATAAGCAACATATAACTTAGTCTTGCTTTTCTTAAACAGTTTAGTTAATTTACATTTGATGATATATACAATTATTGAAATGGTTCCATTTATATGAAACCATTTATGTCCATATATGGTCCATATATGGTTCCAACTTATGTCAACCGTCTTGCTATTTCTGTTCTATTTACTTTTTTATATTAAGATTTCTCTTCTTGCCTTCTTTTGCATATTCTTTGTGATTCCATTTTATCTCCACTGATAACTTTTTAGCTATGCATTTTTGTATTTTTTATGGTTAGTCTAAGGATAACAATATTTATCCTTGACTGATCAGTTTACTTGAATTAATATCACACCACTTGGCCGGGCACGGTGGCTCACGCCTGTAATCCTAGCACTTTGGGAGGCCGAGGTGGATTGTTCAAGGACGAGTTCGAAGCCAGCCTAAGCAAGAGTGAGACCCTGTCTCTACTAAAAAAAATAGAAAAAAATTAATTGTAGCTAAGTAGGATTGCAAAAATAAAGAAAGAAAAAGAAAATAAAGTATAAAGAAAAAGTAAAAGAAAAAAAGAAATTAATTGGCCAACTAAAAACATATTAAAAAAATTAGCTGGGTGTGATGGCACGTACCTATAGTCCCAGCTGCTTGGGAGGCTCATGCAGTAGGATTGCTTGAGCCCAGGAGTTGGAGGTTGCTGTGAGCTAGGCTGATGCCATGGCACTCTAGCCCGGGCAACAGAGTTGAGACTGTGACTCAAAAAAAAAAAAAAAAAAGAATTACACCACTTTATGTACGTGTAGAAACATTACACATGGGTAATTCTATTTTTCACCCTCTTCGTTTCTCATGCCATTGTTGTCCTATATTGTACTTCTACGTTGGTTATAAACCCCACAATACATTATTATCATTGTTTCAAACAGTAGACTTTTAAAGAAGTTAAGAATACAGAAAAAATGGTCTTTTATATTTACTGATGTATTTACCATTTCTAATACTCTATACCTTCCAATACATCCAGATTTCTGTCTCATATTTTTTTCCTTCAGCTTAAACAACTTCCTTTAGCTTATCTTATAATATATGTCTCCTGACAACAGTTTATCTAAAATTGTCTTTATTTTACCTTCATTTTTAAAAGATATTTTTGCTGGATATAAAGTTGGCAGTTTTCTCCACTTTTAACACGTTTTTTTTGTTGTTGTTGTTTTTTTTAAACAGAGCCTCACTCTGTTGCCTGGGTAGAGTGAAATGGTGTAATCATAGCTCACTGCAACCTAAAACTCCTGGGCTCAAGGGATCTCAGCCTCCTGAGTAGCTGGGACTACAGGCGAGCACCACCACGCCCAAATAATTTTTCTCTATTTTTATTAGTTCTGGGCTAATTTTTCTGTTTTTAGTAGAGATGGGGTCTTGAGTCAGGAGTTTGAGATCAGCCTGAGCAAGAGCGAGACCCCCATCTGTACAAAATATAAAAAAATTAGCCTGGTGTGGTGGTGCATGCCTGTGGTCCCAGCTACTCAGGAGGCTGAGACAGGAGGATCGCTGGAGCCCAGGGGTTGGAGGCTGTAGTGAGCTATGACGACACCACTGCACTCTAGCCCAGGCAACAGAGTAAAACCCTGTCTCAAAAAAACAAAACAAAACAAAACAACACCAAAATACACTTTAGAATCAGTTTGTTGATATCAAAAAATAACTTGATGTGATTTTGACTAGTATTGCATTGAATCTATAGATCAACTTGGGAAGAAGTGACATCTTGACAATATCAAGTCTATCTATCTATGAACATGGAATATCTCTCCATTTATGTAGTTCTTCTTTGATATCTTTCATCTGAGTTTTGTAGTTTTCTTCACGTAGATCTTGTACGTATTTTGTTAGCATTATACTTAAGTATTTCATTTTGGGGGGGTGATAATTAAATGGTAATGTGTCTTTAATTTCAAATTGCACTTGTTCATTGCTGGCATATGGGAAAGTGATTGACTTTTGTATATTATCCTTGTATCCTGCAAGTTTTGATATTATTGCTTATTAGTTCCAGGAATTTTTTTATCAGTTCTTTTGGATTTTCTACGTAGGCAATCATGTCATCTGCAAACAGTTTTATTTTTTCCTTCGTAATCCATATACATTATATTTCCTTTTCTTGTCTTATTGCATTAGCTAGGACTTCCAGTAAGATATTGAAAAGCAGTGGTGAGAGGGAACATCCTTGCCTTGTTCCTGATCTTAGCAGGAGAGCTTTGAGTTTCTCACAATTAAGTATGATGTTGGTGGTAGAATTTTTGTAGATGTTCTTTATCAAGGTGAGGAAGTTCCTTCTATTTCTAGTTTGGTAAGAATTTTTATCATGTTGGATTCTGTCAAATGCTTTTTCTGCATCTATTCATATGATTTTTCTTCTTTAGCTAGCTGATGTGATAGATTACACTCATTGATTTTTGAGTATTGAGCCAGCCTTGCATACTTGGGATAAATCCCACTTACTTGTGGTACATAATTCTTTTTATAGAATTATAATTGTATAATTCTATAAAATTATAATTACACTAATATTTTTTTTTTTTTTTTTTTTTTTTTTTTTGAGACAGAGTCTCACTTTGTTGCCCGGGCTAGAGTGAGTGCCGTGGCGTCAGCCTAGCTCACAGCAACCTCAAACTCCTGGGCTCCAGTGATCCTTCTGCCTCAGCCTCCCGGGTAGCTGGGACTACAGGCATGCGCCACCATGCCCGGCTAATTTTTTTTTTTTTATATATATATCAGTTGGCCAATTAATTTCTTTCTATTTATAGTAGAGACGGGGTCTCGCTCAGGCTGGTTTTGAACTCCTGACCTTGAGCAATCCGCCCGCCTCGGCCTCCCAAGAGCTAGGATTACAGGCGTGAGCCACAGCGCCCGGCCTACACTAATATTTTATTGAGGACGTTTGCATCTATGTTCATGAGAGATATTGGTCTGTAGTTTTCTTTTCTTGTAATGTCTTTTTCTGGTTTTGGCATTAGGGTAATGCTGGCCACATAGAGTGAGTTAGGAAATATCTCCTGTTTCTATCTTCCAAAAGAGATTTATAGAGAATTTGGTATAATTTCTTCCTTAAGTGTCTGGTAGAATTCAATAGTGAACCCATCCGGGCCTGGTGCTTTCTGTTTTGAAAGGTTATTATTGATGTAATTCCTTTACTAGATATATCCATTCAGATTTTCTTTTTCTTCTTGTGTGAGTCTTGGCAAATGGTATCTTTCAAGGAATTGGGCCATTTCACCTAAGTTATAAAATTTGTGAGTACAGAGTTCTTCATAATATTTCTTTATTATCCTTTTCATGTCCATGGGATCTCTAGTGATGACCCTTTTTTTTTTCTCTCTTTTTTCTTAATTAGCCTGGCTACAGACTTGTACAGGTGTGAGCCACTGCACCCAGCCTTTTTTCCCTGTTTTTATCTGATGTTAATCCGATATAAGCTACTCTCTGTCTCTCTCTAAATCTCCCTCCCTCTCTGCTTCCCTTCCTCACTGCTTCTATCTCTGTCTCTGCTTGCAGGGAGAACCTGGCCCCAAGGGCGACCCTGGTGAGAAGAGCCACTGGGTAAGCGCTGCCCCTGCACTGGCCTCCCCATGCCTGCCCTGCCCTGGGTGCTCAGGGGAACGTCCCCTCACCCGCGGCCCTGGGAGTGGGAACACCCTACCCGCACCCTGGTGGCAGCCTGGCTGCCCAGGCAGGGAGCCTTGGCTGTCCTCAGCTCTAGTCCCTCCTAGCTGGGTGGGCCAACCCTGTCAGCAGACCCCCGTGCTCTCTAGCTCGTCTTTGTCCCTGTCTCTGCCTTCCCTCTGTGGCCTTTTCAGGCCAGGGTGGCTCTGCCTGTTCTCCTGGGCAGTGTGGGCTGACCCAGGCCAGAGTGCATCTCCTGTCTCCGTAGCCCCTCCCAGCAAGGGCTTCGGCTTCCACTCCTATATCTGCAGAAGAAAGGGCAGCACGAGGACAGTGTCAGCATAGAAGAATGGGCCAGGAGGCCTTAGGACAGCCATGGAGACTAGGAAGGGAGGCCTGTGATAAAAGGGACAAGGAACCTAGACACCACCATACACCTAGGAAATCCACAACGCATGGGAAGGGTTGCCTCAAAACCATTATGTACATATTTGACATGGTTTATGAGGTCAGGAGATCTAGACTCCACTATACCCAAAAGATCTATATTTGCACAAGGTCCTAGACAACATCGCATACATAGGGGACCCATGATGAATGAGAAGAGAAGCCTAGAAACTGTCACATCCACAGGAGACACAAGAGTAAATGAGGTGGGGGACCTAGAAATCAAACACCCCGAAATCCCATGATTCATGTGGGGTCCTAGAAACTATCATAATAAATCATTAGAAGTAATGGTCTTGAATGCATTTCAAGGCCTAGAAATCTCCTCACCAAAGAGACACATGGGGGAAGGACCTGGACCCTAGAACAAACACACCATGCCCAAAAGCCCCATGATCAGGATACCTGGAAACCATCGCTGACATAGGAGATAGTTGGAAAACGGACACAGTGGAGGCAGACACCCCTGCAGGCTGGATGATTAGAAGGCTCATTTGGAGGGTGGTGTCCTGCCTCCCCACCCTCCCTGCCCCCTCCCTAGCAGTCTGGCCGGGATGCCCTACTTCCTGGCAGGCTCTAGTTAGTGAGAATATTGGTAGCAGCTAGCACCTGCCCTGCCCTATCAGTTATTGATTGTGGGGTCAGTGATGGATACAGCCGTGGGAGCCCCCCACCCTGCACGAGTCCTCCCCCATGTCTCCCCATGACTACTGGGGCCCTGCTACCTCCAGCAAGCCTCTCCCAGCCCCCTTGCTGCCCCTGTATCCCCCGCAAGCCCCCGCCCACCCTCTGTGGCTCCAGAGCCTCTTAAGAATATAGACAGGATGACCATGAGCAGAGCTGGGGGTCAGCAGACCCATGTGAGCTGGGCCCTCTCCCTCCCCCAGGCCCTCACTAGCCTCTCCCGGAGGCCCTGGGTCTGGAAGCACATTTTCCACCCAGCCCAGGAATGGTGGGAGAGGCTAGGTCAAGGCAGAATTAGGCTGGGCAGTCCTGTCCCCGCATGGTGACCCCTGGCAGGGGAACAAGATGCCTGGGACAGCCTAGACCAGTCCTCAAACCCAAGACCACCTGTGAGAGGGGTCCCCAAGAGGTAGCAGGGCCCCTGCCTATCCACTTCCTCCCCGTGGTCCACCTGCACTTCTACCCTGCTTGCTGCCTGCCTGGGAGGGAACCGCTGGGTGGGGGGTTGCATGAGGCTTTGGGGGCTGGGGGCCTGCCTCTGTTGGGGGCAGGTGGGGATGGGGTCCAGTGTTGGCAAGGTCCCTGAGGGCTCCTATACACCCGCCACCTACCAAGCCCTACTTAGTACAGCTTTCAGAGAGGCTGGCCATGCTGCGGTGCGGCAGTGACACCTGGTGGTCATGAGTGTGCACTACAGGAACTGGAGTGACTGGGCTCAGCCAGCCCATCTAGATGAGACCAGGGAAACTGAGGCCCAACTCTGCAGAGAGAATCCTTGGCAGAGTGGGAACAGGAGCCGAAGCTTTTAAGCTCCCGGGGCCAGAGAACCGGCTACCATTCCCCAAGCATCTCCTCTGTGGGTGCCAGGCCTGGAGTGGGACACAGATGTCATTCGGATGTGACCTCAGGGTGAATAAAGGTGGGGGAATGAAGACCTGTAACCGGCAGCCACGGGATGAAGGGAGTTCAGCTGGGATGGGAGATGCTTTAGTGCCCTCCTGGAGGAGACAGGTTAAGCCTGAAAGGCGCGTTAACCAGGCACACGGTGTGCAGGCAGAAGAGAGGGGACAGGTGCAAAGGGCCTGGGGTGTTTGAGGAGCTGCAGATACTTGCAGTGGCAGTGCGGCAGGCAGGGAGTGAGACAGAGGCCAGAGAGCCTCTCGGGACTTGGGAGGCCGTATTAAGGAATGTGAAGTTTGTTCTATGGGCAGTGGGACTCACTGAAACATTTACGTGCAGGGGAGTGATGTGGCTGGAGTTTTGTTTGAGAACTACCCCTCTGGACTGCCGCGATAATGGATGGGAGAGGCCGGAAGAGAAAGACAAGGCAGGCTATGTGGTCATCCTGGTGACAGACCGTGGGTGCCAGTGCTAGGGTTCGGGGCAGTGAGGACAGACAGCTGTCGATGGAGCTGAGAGACACTCGTGTGCTGGCCTAGCTGTGGAGGGCAGTGAGGAGCGAAGGAAGACTCACACAGTGAGAACACCTGGAGAATCACGCGTGCTGAGTTTTGTCCACGGAGCAAAGGGAGGTGTCTGTGCTACAGCCCAGTGGGCGTGTCCAGCAGGCCCGGGACACTTAGATCCAGAGAGCAGATGGCAGGCCAGGCTGGAGGGGCCTAGGGTGTCATCAGCACAAGCAGCAGGACACTCATCTGGGAGGCTCCAAACAGTGGATTTTTAAAAATATTTCCCCCCAGATTTTTTATCTTGAAAATTTCCAAATATACAGAAGAGTTGGTACAATGAATCTCCTTCTGCCCTTCCTGTAGAGTGACCAATTATTAGTACATTCATGTGTTTACTTAATGATGGGGATACCTTCTAAGAAATGCATCCTTAGGAGATTGGGTTGCTGTGCAAACATCGCAGAGTGAACTTACACAAACCTGGATGGTGTATCTCACTACACACCTAGGCTATACGGTGTGGCCTGTAGCTCCTGGGCTGCAACACTGTACTGTACTGAACACTGTAGGCAATTGTACCACAGTGGTAAGTATTTGTATAACTAAACGTAGAAAAGGTACATTTAAAATATGGTATAAGAAGCTGGGCACAGTGGCTCATGCAGCCAGGAGGATCACTTGAGGCCAAGAGTTCAAGACCAGCCTGAACAAGAGTGAGACCCCATTTCTATAAAAAACAGAAAAAATTAGCCAGGCATGGTGGCGTGCACCTGTAGTCCCAGCTACTCTGGAGGCTGAAGCAAGAGGATGGCTTGAGCTCAGGAGTTCAAGGTTCCAGTGAGCTACAATGACACCATTGCATTCTAGCCAAGGTGGCAGAGTAAGACTCTGTCTCAAAACTTTTTGAAAAAATTGTATAGGAGATAAAAATGGTACACCTGTATAGGGCACTTACCATGAATAGAGCTTGCAGGACTGGAAGTTGCTCTGGGGAAGTCAGTTAGTGAGTGGTGAGTTAATTTGAATGTCTAGGACATTACTATACACTACTGCAGACTTTATAAACACTGTACACTTAGGCTACACTAAATTTATAAAAAATACTTTTCTTCAGCTGGGCATAGTGGCTCAAATCCATAATCCCAGCTACTTGGGAGGCTAAGGAGGATTGCTTGAGGTCAGGAGTTCAAGAACAGCCTGGACAAAATAGTGAGACTCCTGTCTCTTAAAAAACAAAAAGACAACTTTTCTTGAGTAATAAATTAACTTTAGCTTATGCTAATGTTTTTACCTTACAAACTTTTTGATTTTTTTTTTAATTTTTTGACTCTTTTGTAATAATACTTAAAACACAAACTTGGTGCACAGCTATACAAAAATATTTTCTTTCTTTATATCCTTACTAGCTTTTTTCCTCTGTTGAAAAATCTTTTATATATTGTTTTTACTTTTTAAAAATTTTTTGTTAAAAACTAAGACACAAACACACACAGTTGCCTAAGCCTACACAGGATCAGGATCATCAATATTACTGTCTTCTGCCTCTGCATTTTGTCCTACCCGAAGGGTTTTAGGGGCAGTAACTTTCCTGAAACTGTCACCTCCTATGATAACAATGCCTTCTCTTGAATGTCTCCTGAGGGACCTGCCCAAGGCTGTTTGACAGATAACTTTTTTATATATATAATTAGAAGGAATATACTCTAGAATAACAAGAAAAAGTACAGTATAGTAAATGCTAGGCAACAGGAACTTTTCGGCTCCATCATAATCTTATGGGACTGTCATCCAGCTATTCCACCTATCATTGAAACGTCATTATGTGGTGCATGACTGTATTTTGCCACAATTGCTCTCTATTTCTCTCTTTATATATTTATGTCTTTTTCCCAATTCGTTTGAAAGTAAAAGTAAGCTACAAACCTCATCTACATCTCCCCTGACACTTCAGCGTGCATCTCGGGGGAATATGGACATTCTCCCTAATAACTGCAATATTAATAACTCTCACACCTAAGGAAGCTAACATTTATTCAGTATAATGATGCCATTTAATGTGTGACTTACATGTAAATTTTACCCGTTGTCCCAAAAATGCCTTTTAAACCTCTTTTTTTAAAAAAATCCAAGATCTAGTCAAGGTTCACATTTGGTTATCACATCTCTCGTCTCTTTTAATCTAGAGCAGACCTCTGCCCTTTTCTGCTTCTGACTTTGTCTTTTTGTGAATGTCCCAGAGTCTAAATTTGTCTGATTGTTTCCTCATGATGAGATGCAGGTTAAATATATGAACATCTGTGGGGGAGTCGTAGCTCACAGCAACCGCAAACTCCTGGGCTCAAGCGATCCTCCTGCCTCAGCCTCCAGAGTAGCTGGGACTATAGGTGTGCACCACCATGTGTAGCTAATTTTTTAATTTATTTTTTTTGTAGAGACAGAGCCTCACTGTGTTGCCCAGGCAGGGTGACCTTTTATTATGCCTCGTTAGAAGTTTCATGATGCCAGCTTGTCCCACTGTTCATGCCGGAATGGTTTCATGGAACTTTTGAAGGCATCCATTTTTAGGTCCTGCTCCTGTGATACTTGAAGGGGGATTGCTTTGGTGTGCAGCCTGTGGTCACCCTGAGACCCCTCCATTAAGTGGCCTGAGGGAAGCCCAATCTGTGTGATGTGGACAAGACAGCTGGATCATAAGGGACAGCCCTAGTGGGCCAGCTCATTCATAAGGGCTAGGTTAGGAGACCTCTCGGTGGTTTAGATGTTTTTGTGGGGAACAACTACCTTAAAGGATTGGATTTTAACTGTGCAAATATGCATATCATACATCCCTTCACTCATCTGTGCTGCAGGAAGGACCCCGAGAGAGACCTCCAGATGTTGTCAGGGCTGGGGTAGTTCTAATTGTCATCCTGGCGCTCCGTTGGAATTGAGATATCTACATTCCAGAAATAGCTTTGGGCTGGACTAGGAAAGAGGGAGTGTGGAATGTGGGCAAGACCGGGGAAGGAAAGGACAGACAGATTGGGAGGAAGTCAAAGTGAGGTCTCTGGCTGAGCCCTGGGCAGCAGCTGGCACCATTTGGGGACTGGGGAGCCCCAGAGCTGGGTGGCCTCAAGGATGGGCTTTGTGGGCCCATTGCCACATCCCTAGCACCTGGGGCCAGAGACACGGAGACACACACCCAGCAGACTGGTGTTGCTTAAAGCAGAAGGCTGGGCTGTGGGTGAGGCACCAGGACGTGCCAAAATACAGACCTGGCATAGGCCGAGCCTGGGAGAGTGAGGGCTGTTTTCTTGGGAAGAAGCCCAAAGTGAGAAGGGCTGGGGAAGGGGCACTGGGCCTGGGCCTCAGGTCTGCCTGCATTTAAACGCAGGTTCCCCAGCAGTAATGCAACTCATTTCCTAATTTTACTCATGTACTGAGAGTCCCCTTGAACTCATGATAGTTCAAGTCAGGATTTTTCGACTTTATAATGGTGTGAAAGTGATAGGCATTTAGTCTGCTCCTCAGCTTACAAAGGGGCCACGTCCAGATAAGCCCACTGTACTTTTTTTTTTTTTTTTTTTGAGACAGCAGAGTCTCACTCTGTGCCCAGGCTAGAGTGCCGCAGCATCAGCCTAGCTCACAGCAACCTCAAACTCCTGGGCTCGAGTGATCCTTCTGCCTCAGCCTCCCGGGTAGCTGGGACTACAGGCATGCGCCACCATGCCCGGCTAATTTTTTTATATATATATCAGTTGGCCAATTAATTTCTTTCTATTTATAGTAGAGACGGGGTCTCGCTCTTGCTCAGGCTGGTTTTGAACTCCTGACCTTGAGCAATCCGCCCGCCTCGGCCTCCCAAGAGCTAGGATTACAGGCGTGAGCCACAGCGCCCAGCCGCCCACTGTACTTTTGACTTAGATTTTTAACACACAGTGGGTTTATCAGGACGTAACCCCATTGAAAGTCAAGAAGCATCTATATATCAATTTGGTGTAAGCAAAGAAGCATCTATATATCAATTGATATATCTATATATCAATTTGGTGTGATTGGAAATATTGGTAACCAATCTGACCTCACTGATAAGTTAATTATAATGAGGTTAATGGGATAATTTATGGCAAAAGCCAATTTAAAGAATATGAAGTAGGCTGGGTGCGGTGACTCATGCCTGTAATCCTAGTACTGTGGGGGGCCGAGGTGGGAGGATCACTTGAAGTCAGGAGTTCGAGACCAGCCTGAGCAAGAGTGAGAGCCCATCTCTACTAAAAATAGAAGAATTATCCAGGCATGATGGTGTGGGCCTGTAGTCCCAGCTACTCAGGAGGCTGAGGCGAGAGGATCACTTGAGCCCAGGAGTTTGAGGTTGCTGTGAGCTAGGCTGATGCCACAGATGATGTCAGCCCAGGTGACAGAGCAAGACTCCGTCTCAAAAACAAAAGAATATAAAGTAAATAAGAGCATAGGCGGCCCAGGGATGTGGCAGGAATTGTGCAGGTGATGGGAGAGCAGCTAGTCTTAGGCGACAAAGATTAGAGGACGGGGAGGCCTGTGGCAGCCCTGGGGCAGGTTCCATGGCAAGCTCAGGGGTGGCTCCGGAACAGGCTCCGTGGCAGGCTGTGGACAGCCACTCTGCCCAGTGCAGGGAGAGCAGCTGGCTGGGATCCAATGGGACTTTCTGAGGTCTTTCAGGAGTTGCTTCGCCTGCCTTACCCCCTCCTGTCATCTCTTGGTCTTGCTCTGACTGTCCAGGGGACCCAGGCTGCGGCAGGTGGTGCGGGGCTGCAGGTGCATGTCCCGGGTGGGGCATGGGCCACCAACAGGCTTTGCAGGGTCCCCTCCCCAGCCCCCTTCACGGCTGCATCTGTCTCTTTCCTCCGCAGGGGGAGGGGTTGCACCAACTACGCGAGGCTTTGAAGATTTTAGCTGAGAGGGTTTTAATCTTGGAAACAATGATTGGGCTCTATGGTGAGTAGAGACAGACAGACGGACAGACAGCCCAGCCCCTGCCTGCCGGCCTTCCCCAAGCCCTCCTGGGGCAGAACTGGCCTAGTCCCAGTCATGAGGCTGTAGAAGGTGTGCCCTGGTCAAGTGTGGGCCCGGGAGGCCCTCTGACGGGTCCCCTCCTCCACAGCTGCAGGGTGGCCTAGAAACGCAGGCCCCACCGCTGGGGTCATACCTCAGCCTCCAGGCGTTGTGGGTAGCGTGGTTTCCAGGCCTATAGGGAACCAGGGATGACAGATTTCAGGTTTGGAAAAACTTACAGGCAATGGACCCAAACTCCAGACCAGCAGGGGACTGTGGGTAACAGAGCCAGATTCCAGCTGTGCAGGGAATTATGGGTAACGAAGTCAGAGCCCAGGCCTCCAGGAGGATTATGGGTAGTAGACCCAGACTCTAGTCCGGCTTTAGCATGGGTAACAGAGTCAGGTCTCCAGGCCCACAGGACAGTAGGTCATGGAGCTGGGGACTCCAGAAGTGCAGGGGACTATGGGTGACAGAGCCCAGTGCAGGCCCCAGGGGACCACGTGCTAGTTCTGACCCTCCTCCGCCATAAGGCCCCACGGGCTCTCACAGAGCAAGCCCTCCTGGCCTCAGGTGTCCCCCTTTCCGGTCCCCCTTTGATCCTTCTAACCTGTCCCTCTGGGGGCCTGAGAGAGCCAGACCTGCACCCCAGGCATTCACAGAGCAATTCCCCAGCCATCTGGTCACTTGAGGAGCCAGACAATCCCTGTCCCCACCTTAGAAGTGGAGACAGAGGTCTCCATAGAGACTCACACCCAGGCTCCCGCCCTGAAGCCAGCTGGCACTGCCGTCCCCCCTCGGCTCCCCAGCCCAGCCCTCAGAGGCCAGACTCGCACCGTCTGCTCTTCTCGATCTCCCATCAGGCTCCTAGCTTACAGAGCTTCCTGCAGCAGCAGGCTCAGCTGGAGCTCCTGGCCAGACGGGTCACCCTGCTGGAAGCCATCATCTGGCCAGGTAATGGCAGGGCGGGCAGCCCCGGGCAGCCCCTTCCAGGAAAGGCCTGGGAAGGGCTCAGGCATGCAGAAGGTGCCTTCCAATGCTTGGCCCAGGCCAGAGAGCACTCATTCTTCATCCTTCCATACGTGCAGCAGATGGTGCCTGGCAGAGAAGCCTCTGGTAACTAGTTCTCCAGTGAATGAGTACCTGCTCTGTGCCAGGCACCTTGCCGGCACAGGCTCCACCAGATGAAACAGATACAGCCTGCCCTCATGGAGCTTAGGGGGCTGGGGAGAGCCCTGGCACTGGCAGTGAAACCTAAGGGGAGATATCCCACAGTGGAGCAACTACAGGCAGCTGTGGGAACACAGAAGTGCCTCTAGCCCAGGCCTGGGGGAGGTCGGAGGGGGTCTCAGGGAGGGCTTCCTGGAGGAGGTGATGTCTAAGTGGAGACATCACTGAAGGGCAAAGATCTGGGGAGAGTTAACAGGCAGAGAGAAACATCATGAGCAAGGGCCAAGAGACCAGAAAGAACGTAGGGGCTAGAGAATCTGATAGGGCCCAGATTGAGAAAGTGCTAGAAGGCGGGTTGGGTGGCACAGGAGGTTAGGCACCAGGTAGGCAGTTCCTGTTCCTACACCTGGCTCCTGGGGGTGAGGCTGAGGACGGGATTGGCTGCCTCAGGGCCTGGCTCTGTTCCTTCCCTGCCTGACTGCCCCATCCCATATCCCATCAAGCACATCAGCTCACAGAGGCCTCGACGACAGCACGTCCTACCTCGCATCTATTTTACAAGCTGGGAGACAGGTCCCAGGCAAGGAGGGTCAAGGTTAGAGCCAAGCCTCCTCATTCAGCGAAACCCCAGCGAGCCCCTACTGAACGCCGGGCCTGGGTGTCACTGGGGCCCTGGAGAGCAGAGAGGTCCCCGTCTTGAGGCGCTGCCTGTCAAGTGGCAGGGAGTCCTTGGTATCTTTAGGGATAAGGGGTACGGGAGCAGCAGAGGATGTGAGTGAGGAAGAGTCACTTCTCACTGCGGGTTGGAGAAGACTCCTGGGAAGATGGGATACTCGCATGGGGGCCTGGGAGTCCCCTGCGAGGGGGCTGGGGGAGGAGTAGGAAGGGCAGTCGTGACAGAGGCTCGCATGAGCAGGGGGCTAGAGGTTGGAAAGTGTGTGGGGTCCGAGAGCCCCTCCCACCATGCCACATGGCTTCTCTGACTTCTAGAAACATCAGTGACCATCTCCGAGACCTCTCCTTTTACAGAGGGGGTCCAACAACCAAATCTTGGGCTCTCAGCACCTTTTAGGTGTCCCCAACCTTCTCAGGAGGATTGGGGGGCAGGAGCTAGAAGGGACATATTTGGGCCACTCTGGCCCCAGATTTGTCCCTCCCTGCCTTCAGCCGGCTCTGTCTCTGACAGTCCAGGGAAGAAGTACCACGTAGCCTGAAAGGTTGGTGCCCACTGTCAGTGGCCACGAGCCTGGGAGGGCAGCCCCTTGAGCTTGGGTTGGGCCTGGAGGGAAAGGTGCAGGAGGGGAGGAACACAGAAGGGGATGGGACACTCCCAGTTGGCCCAGCATACACCGCAGGTGCTAACTAAAGACCCAGATGGAGTTCGTGTTTAGGTTATGAGTTAACAACAGTAATAGTAACAGCTATGACATGTCTGGCCCAGCTGGGGGAGTTACATTGGTCATCTCTAATCCTTACAATTAGGACACAAGGTGGGCAAAACTATGCCCATTTTACAGATGAAGAAACAGAGGCTCAGAGGGCTCATGTGGCTCCCTCAGGGTCACAGGGATAGCAATGGTAAAGCCAGGGGTCCACCCTGGGTCTCTCCCTTATTAAGCTCTAGCTCTTTGGGCTCCATCAGTAAAGGTTTGCTGCCACCGCCACTCAGCCAGGCACTACGTGGGGCCCGGGGAAACCGAGGCGTTTGATCATGTAAGTGTACATCTCTTGACCAACTCACAGTGACCAGACCTGCAAGAGACTTGGGTCAAAGCCACACCAGCCTAGGGGGCCAATTGCCCAAGGCTGCACAGTAGTGCTCAGTGGTCCGTAGAGGTCAGTGGCAGGGCAGGGCCTGGCCCTGCTGAGCCTTTTCCCCAACTGGCAGCCTCGCCCAAGTGAGTCTATTCCCTCGCTCGGTTTATCCAGCTATGAAATGGGGGGATTCAGGGCACACCTCCACCCCAAAATGTGGGACAGATAAAAAGCACCATATGTTTTATGGCGCATTCGCTGTGTGCTCAGCATCTCACACACACAGTGGATCTGGTCATCCCCGCTTGACAAAGCAGGCGTCACAGAGGCCCTGAGAGCTCTCGTTGGGTGGGGGGGCTAAGTGCTGGGGGCAGGCACTCACCAGCCTGCAGACCCTCTTCCCTCCCAAGCTCTGCTCCCAGACAGCAGGGTGGACTGCACTCAGCAGAGGGTGCCTGGTGCTGCCACCCCGCAGAGGGCCAAGAGGAGGTGAGCACCCCACATGGACCCCCTAACGTGGCCTTTCTCCTTCTCCTTCCCTCCGGCAGAACCAGAGCTGGGGTCTGGGGCAGGCCCTGCTGGCACGGGGACCCCCAGCCTCCTTCGGGGCAAGAGGGGCGGACACGCGGCCAACTACCGGATCGTGGCCCCCAAGAGCCGGAACGAGAGAGGCTGAGGGCGGTGGCGGCCCCTGGGGCGGACCAAGCCAGGCTTCCCTTCCCAGCCCGGACCTGGCCAGCTGCCTCCAGGGACCGCCCGTCCATATTTATTAATGTCCTCAGGGTCCCTTCTGCCATCCAGGCCTTAGGGGTGGGCAAGTATTGGCCCGGGCACCTTGCACATGTCCAAGGCTGAGCAGGGACTGGGGCCCGAGCTGGAGGAGGGGATGAGGCCAGGGTCTCGGTTTCCCTGTGCGGAAAGGGGTAATGCGGGCCTTCAAGGAGGGGTCGGAGGTACGGGGCTTCCTGTCTCACTGGCACCCCGGCCCAGAGGCACTGGGGAGCTGGGAGCCGGGAGCTAGAGCTCTGTCTGGCCCCCAGCACATGCAGGGACGACCAGAGGGGTCTCCCTCACTTTCCTCCCCAGCCAAACCGTGGGGAGCCCCCTGCGACCCCGTTCTTATTTTCCAGTGCTGGGACCCCAACCCTGAGGTCAGGCTGCCTCATCTCTGGCTGGACTGTGGGGGCTCCTTGCCTCAGTTCTGCCTCGAGCCCCCAGCCCCTTCCCAGTGTCCCAGGTCGGGGTCGGGGACACAGAGGAAGGGGCCGCCTGCTCCCACCAGTGTTTGTGACAGACGCAGGAGGTCGCCGTGTACTGGCCAATAAAGGCCCCTCTGATCCCACGAGCCTGGTCTCAGTGTGTGCTCAGACGGGGGCAGCCGGGAAGGGCCGCCCAGGCTGAGACCTGATGGGGGGACACTAGCCGGAAACAAGCAGGAAGAGGCTGCCCAGGGCCAGACATCAAGGAGCAGCTCTCCTGCGGTCGTTTGTTCATTGATCACTCACTCATTAATGCCAACGCGGAAGAGTCAGACACAACTGCTGCCTCTAAGGAGGTCCAGGTTGAAAAACAAACTGACTTTTATTTTAAATAGTACCAGGGCAGCATGCTGGGGGGCCTCTCCTGCCCCCAGGGGTGCCCCATACCCCCGGTGGCCCTCAGTAGACAGAGTGGGGGCTCAGGTCAGGCCCACCTATGGGCCAGACCTCATCACCCAAGGGCCCGGTGCTCCCACCTTCCGCCTGGGCTAGGGGGGCCCAGGGCCCTCAGGGTGGGGAAGCCCACCTCTCCCCTCGGTCACCAGGGCCTCTGCGCCCACCTGCCCACCAACCAGCAGTGACACGGCACCCTCCACACGGCCCATGGCTGCCAGTGCCACCACCGCCTGCTCCGTGGGGAAGCCCATGCGCTCCAGCTGCTGTAGCCTGTAGGGTGTGCGGGGGACAAGGAGGGAGTGTCAGGGCCACCCCAGCCCCGACACCTAAGGACGCCATCCCTGCCCACCTGCTTACCGCAGAGAGGAGACGGAGGACTTGGACAGCCATAGTGGGCTCTGGGCCGACCCGTCAAGGAGCGAGGCCTGGATCCCCTCCTGCAGCATCTGCTCGTCCAGGGCTGCCCATAGCGGAGACCCTGGGGAGAAGCTGGCCCCGGCCCAGTCCGGGCCCACCTCCGAGGAGCCCTCCCAGGTCGGCTGCACAGGCCTCAGGCCCAGCGGGAACGGGCCTGTGCTTTCACTGTGGGACCAGAAGCCAGGGGAGGCCACGTAAGGAGGCCCAGGGAAGGGAGGCCTGGAGGAGCAGAAGCAGAAGAGGCCTGAGCATGGCCGGGCACGGCATCCACCACCCGGAACAGTGTCCCCAGCGTCACCCTCACCTCACTCTGGCAGGATCGACGAAAGGCAGCTCAGCCAGGCTGCCTGGGGTGGGAAAGAGCTTCAGCGGCCAGCACCCTGCCAGGGTCCTGCACACGACGCCCTCTTGCAGCGCCTGCAGCCGCTGCTCCGACAGCTCCAGCCACCAGAAGGCCCCAGCGGCGTCTGTCTGCCCAGGGCAGGGCGGCCAGTCAAGGAAACCGAAACCAGCCAGGCGTGGGCCGCACTGCATGCCAGCCCAAGACAGACTGCTCTCCTGAAAGCCAGAGCGACTGCAAGGGTCAGCCTGCTCTCTTTGGCAGGATGTGTCCCATGACAGGTATTAAGCATCTTGAGAGCAAATAGCAAATGCCTATGTTGAAGCCACTGTACCCCTGGCCACAGGTCACTGCCTCTCTGTTCCCAGGGAGGGACAGAGCCTGCCTGTCCCCAGCCCCGACCGTTGCACCATCTGCCACCTCTGCCTGACCCACTCTCTCTTTTCACTTCTCCTCACCCAAACCCCTCCTCATGCATGTCTCTGTTCAGATGCCACCTTCACAGAGTGAAGTGCCAGGCGACTGCCACCTTAGCCCTCCCAGGCTCCCCACACGGAGCCTTTTAAATTGTCACTGGCACCTGCACCTGGCCATGAGCTCCAGTCCCCAGCCCAGAGTGTGGCGCAGAAGAGGACTCAGAGGTGCTCCTGGCATGTGTGTGCACAGCGTCCTGGCATTGCTCAGGCCTCACCCCCTTGTGCCACTCCCTTCCTAGGCACCCACAGGACCCACATGTCCCCACGGGCCCTGGGCTCAGGCAAAGGATACAGGCCAGGCCAGCAAGGAGGCCACAAAGGAGATGCAGGAAGGGTGGCTCAGAGCTGAGCAATGGGGTCAGGGCGAGGAGCAGCCATGGCAGCAGCCATGGTGGCAGCGCCCCATGGGGCTGTCTAGAGTAGTGACCCTGCCCAGCCAGCATGGCCAGGTGCACAGGCATGTACCCGCAGCTGCTGGCTGCACTGGACACCCCAAGGCCTGCCAGCAGTACAGCCAGCAGGCCAGTGGCCAAGGCGAGCAGGGTGGAGGCATGCAGGAACCGCAGCGTGCCCAGGTGGCACTCCTGTTGCCACCCCAGGGCAGGCAGGAGCAGCAGGCTCAGGAGCAGGCCGGGCAGGGCCGTGTGGCCCAGGGCATGGGTCAGCAGCCGGTATACTGGGAGAGAGAAAGGGCTTATGTGCCAGGTTTGTGGCCCCAACCTTCAAGGCTGGCCCCAGTGTGCTGGGCTGGGGGTTACCCTCCCCCAGGGCCACCCGCTGAGCCAGCCTCCCGTCTCCAAGAGCCAGTCCGCCCACTGCCAGCACTTAACCATTGGTAGAGGGGACCGAGGGCTGCCAAAAACCATGGCTACTCCCCTGCTGCATTAAACAGAACAAGCCTGACTGACCCACCACTCGGTCTCCTCACTAGCAGCCAGCTAGTGAGCAACCACTGCGTCCCAGGCACTATGGAGGCGCTTCACTTATTGACCAAATCACACCCTGTTGACAACATGAGTTCTGATGAGACTGCCTATTCCAATCTGCGGCTACCCCATTCCCCAAAGCTGTGTGACCTTGGACAAATCACCTAACCTCTCCGAGCATCATTTGGGTTCCTCAAATGTAAATCGGACCTGTTGTTATTACTGAGAAACAGGTGCTCAACTAGGGTCATTCCTTGAACCCTCCAAGCCTCTTCCCCATCCTCATGCTTAGGCTGAAAGTCTTAGGTTTTATTTCAAGGGCAAGCGGTCACAAAGGGAAGCTGTCAGAAAAGAACTCCTACCCTTGGGTTCCCGAGCCACCTCTGCCCTCCCTTCTTGGCCGTGGGTGAGCTGGGCATGCTCCTGTCTAAGGCCAGCCTCCTCAGGGCACTCACTGCTCCTACCAACTGCTCTCAGGCCCTACAGCAGGTTCCTGCCTCCTCCAAGGTCCGTGTGGCTGCCCTCACCCTGCCACGGGTCCAGCAGCAGCTCCGGGGCCAGGGCCAGGCTGGGGCCGGCCCCCGCCAGCCACAGGCTGCTCAGCAACAGCATCAGGACTGAGGAGGCGAGAGGCAGTGCCGGGGACAGCTGGCCAGGGGGACCCTGGGCACACATAGTTTGGCTGAAGGTGGTCAAGGGTCGTCCTGGGGCTGGGGTGCTGGGGGTGAGGAAACATAACAACAGTTATTAGTGTAGCATTATCTCATCGACACCCTCTCCACTACCTTACCAACAGCCCCATTTTACAGAGGTGGAAACAGGCTAGAGAGGCAGGCCCAGCAGCCTGGTCATGGTGGAGCTCAGACCCTAACCTTTGTGCTTATTAATCATCTCATCTTGCCTGTGTGTGGTGGTGGGCAGGGGACAGGCACTAAGAGTTGAGTCCTAATAGGCCCTGAAGTCTTGAGTGAGAGGAACAGGGCCAGGGATGTTGAACTAGGACCATGGACTCCCATAAATAGGGGTACAGTCCCCCGGGGCAAATTTAGTACCATCTCTAGCCCTCTTCTGCCTCCCCCTTCCCTTAGGTGACCACCTTCCTCCCTACGCTGTGCCCAGCCTTAGGGCTCCAGATGGCCTCAGCTGCCCCTGACCAGGAGGGTGGGGCCAGCCAATGGGCAAGCAGGAGTTGGGGAGGAGTTGGGGCAGAAGGGGTAGAGGAGGGGCAGCAGGAGTCCCACACCCTCAGCCATACTGTGACCTGGGACTGAGATGTCCCTTTCCTCCCCAGCCCTGAACACAGCCTCTCTGGCCATAGCTCCCTTTGCACCAGAAAGTTCCAGTGTCCACTCCACCTCTTTTTGCTTTAAGTCCTTGGGCAAGTTTCCCAACCTGTGAGCCTCTCCTTCCTCATCTGTAAAATGGGGATTAGTAAAATCCTTTTCTGGCCTGGCATGGTAGCTCATGCCTGTAATCCCACAGCTTTGGGAGGCCAAGGAGGGAGCATCGCTTGAGGCCAGGAGTTCAAGACCAGTTGATTCCCATCTTTGGCCTTCAAAGAGGGCCATTCCCTGCCCACAAAGCAAGGCTTTTTCTCCCCTGTGCTATCCCTTTGCCTCAAGCCTGTCTTCCAGGCCCTACTGAACCCCTTCACCCCTGGTCAGGCTTCTTTGTCCCAGGACTCCCATGGGGCAGATTCAAGGTAGGAAGCAGGATCCCAGAGAGACAAGAAGGCTGCCTAATCTGCTCCCTTGCCAAGGGTATCCTCTGCGTCCACTACTTTCCTGTAGCAAAAATGTGGAAAGCTCTCCTGCCTAAAATGTCCTTTCCTCCATCTCTCCAACAGGCAAACTCCTACTCACCCTTTAAAGCCCAGCTCAAATGTCCCCTTCCCCACCCCTGCCCCCCCACATTATGGCTCTTATCCTACCCTATGAGCATAGCTTGGCCTGTCTCCCTAGGCAAGTGGTCTGAGCTCTTGAGGGGAAGCTTCTCGTAACTCATCCCCAAGTTCCCCGGGGCACTCCCAGCACACAGCTGGTGATTCACATGTATTCAATGAAAGAAAGAGGTTGGCTTGGCTCCTGGGCCTGCTGGGGGATTTGAGGGTGAGCCCTGACCTTTCCGGGACCTGGGCACCACCTAGGGGGCTGGACTGAGCTTCAAGGTGGGCAGGTGTCAGCCCCACCTGGAAGCAGGGTCTGGGACCAAGGCACCCACGGTAAGCCTCCTCCTGCACCCTCACAACCGTCCCCCTGACCAGGCACTTTAGCAAGGGTGAAGGACTTAGCCATGGACGCTCAGAACTGGGACTTGAACCCGCTGGACCTCAGTTTCCTCGTCCTATAAAAGGGGGCTGTGCCCCGACAGGCCCTGCCTACCTTACTGGGAAACCAGGAGGACAGAATGGGAAGACAGGGACAGGGAAGATTCTTCCGGGTGGTGGACAGAGTGGGGGTCCCAGGGTCTGTCTGGGTCGAACTCAGCTTTGTGACTTTGTAAAGGTACTCAATTTCCTTGGGCCTCAGTTTCCCCTTCTGTAGAAACAAAGGTAGGTACTGGATGCAGGAAGATTAAAGGGCCTTCTCCACCCGACCGTTACTGGGGCGGGGGAGGTCTCGGGGCCGGCCACGTGTCCGGGTACTCACTGCGGAGCGCGCCCCCCACCCCGGAGGGCCGGGCGGGGCTCCCGGCGGGGAGTCGGGCCTCGAGCTCCGGGCCGACACCCGGGAACCCCGAACCCATTCCGCACACACGTAGGCGCGTGACCCCGGCGACTGGCCGGCGCGCCACCCCCTCCCTCGCCTCCGCCGCCTGCCGATTAGTCAGCAGTTGTTCTAGGCCCGGGTCCCTTCCCCCAGCCCTCCCGCCGCTCTCCGTTTCTCTCCAGGGCAGACTCTTCAGAGACGGTCCCTAGAGCCCGCGGACGTAACCATTCCCAACCACCTGAGCTCGTGCAGAGAACCGCTCCGGTTTGATACCGAGACCCAGTCCCCGGCGCTTTGGCTCCTTAGGCGCTGTTTTGACCCTCGCGTCACGTCTGGCGCTCTTTAGCGAGGACTGGGACAAGAGCTGCAGACGTGAAGAACGAGAAAGCAGTGTTCATCCTTCTTATCCCACCCCCGTGGCCTGGCCCGATGGTAGCGCCCGAGGTTGCGGCTTTTGCGCCTGCGCAGTGCGGCGCCTAGAGGGAAAGCGAGAGGGAGACGGACGTTGAGAGAACGAGGAGGAAGGATAGAAAATGGCGTCCACGGGTGAGTGTGGTGGAACTGCGGTGGCGCTGGCGACAGCTTGGACGCCCAAACTAGGGGCCGCTTGTCTCTGGGGGTTGTCAGGGCGACTGAGCGGAGTAGCCGAGAGAGGTTGGAGGTACCCGCCGCGCCTCGATGAGCTCGAGGGCGCGCGTTCCCCTCCCCTCCCCCCACCGGGCGGGCCGGTTCTGGAACCTTCCGGCGCGCGGGGCGCGGGGGGCTCGCGGCGGCGGGGGCGCGCGGGGCCTGCTTTAGCCTCCATTGTGTGGCAGTCGGGCCCCGCGCTCCGGGCCGCCCGCCACGTGGGCGGGGCCTGCGGCCTCCGAGGCCCCGCGTGAGGAAGGGGGGGATTCGGCCGGGCTTTGAGCCCGTCACCTCGAAACCGGCGGGGGAGCCCAGATGGCAGCTCGAGACGCCGCGGGTCTGCTGCCCCTGTGGCCCTCCCCTCCCCGTTTTCAGGGAGGCGGCCCTAGCCCGAGGGCGACTTTCCCTCATGGAGAAACCCGGGGGAAAAGCAAATAAACAAAAAGGACATCGCGGATTTGTGAGCCGAGGGGCGCCGGCCTATGAGCTGGAGCCCCGTCATTCTTACGGCCTGGTCGGCTGGGGCGTCCAGCGTTGCTGTCCCCTCGGCGGCTTCCCTCTTCAAGCCGGGCTTCTTTTAGACAGAATGTGCTCCTCCCTACAGGACCCCCCCAATTTACCGCCTCCTTGGGCTTTTCCGTTTTAATCGTTGTTAACCCCACCTCCTTCCCTCCCTCAAAAGCAATTAAGTGGCTTCCCAGGGCCCTTCTTCAGCAGACGCCGAGGGACATCCGTTGTATAAAAAGGCCAGCCTGGTTCGAGAGACCAGAAATCCTACCAGAAAGAATTTTCTGGCCTCTTTGACCTAGGAGGAACAAAAGGCCGAGCCAGCATTTGAATTATGCTTAAGCAGTGGTTTCGCACGTTTATTCGCCTGCGTTAGGCCGGCAGGCTTGTTTATTTCGTGGAGCCATATAGAGGAGAGCGAAAGGGGGCGAGTAGTGGACTTGAAAGAAAGCCTGGGGGGGGGGACTCTTAGGATGTGGTGGATATGATGGTCCTTGCTGCAAGGAGTGTTGAAGAGTACAGCCTAGCCATCCCCTGCAGCTTGCAGCCCGTTAGTTAGTACACTAACCCACGGTTGTTAGGGTGGAGCATTTTTGCCTGGACGGGGCGGGTATTCTTAGGCTCCTAACTCCAGGCCTTAGAGATGGTGGGAGAAGATAAGAGGGAAGACAGCAAAAGATCTAGATCCTTCAGAGTTTTGATTTGGAAAGAGTCCAGAATCAAGCGACTTAGGACAATTTTAAAGCTCCCCTCAGCTGTGATTAGTAAACAGGTAAGCTTTGGCTATTCGGTCAGTGCCCCTAGAAATAACCAGTCTAAAACATCTTGGTAGGAAATGGTTTCCAGGGTGCCCTTTGTACCCTCTCCCTTGCTAAAGCTTGAGAAGGCAAAACGTGTACGTTGAAATTTTTGCGTGGCTAGTGATGCCTTTTTTCAGTTGACTGTGTTCAAACCTTGTTTACCAGTAAACACCATGTACTAAAGAATTTCAATTGTGGTTGATGTAAACACATAGTATTTATTAGGGCTGGCTGGGGTATCTTTGGGGAGTCACATAACTTATCTGGACCTTAGTTTCCATTCCTGCAAAATGTAGGCGTTAACCTAGACCTTTTAAAAGCTTTTTGAGTCCTTTTGACCTTACATCAAAGCATTTTACCCTTCCATAAAGTTGCCCTGTGCTAACTCTTGTAGTCTGAGCTCTAATCTCTGCAGCTTGGGTAAAGTATCTAAGCTCCTATCTTGAATAATAGTAGATGTTTCCCCCACGTACATCTCATATAGAAAAGCGTCTAAAGCATATGTCCAGTTTAACAAAGAATTACAATGCAAACTCCCAAGTAACCATTCAGACCAAGAAATAGAACATTGCCAGCACCCTAGAGGTCCCCCAGGCTCTTCTTTTCCTCGACCTGTGCTATATTTTTAGTGAAATTTTCAACTGCACGTTTGGGAATTTAAAACACACACTGTTCTAAATAATCTGACCAGTGTGTAAAGATAGCATAGCATATGGAGACCATATAATGTTTGTGTGCGATAAGTTCTCATGAAACAAGTTTGCTACCTCCCATAGCCCACCAGTGTAAGGGCAAATCCTCTGGTTTCACACTGATAGGAGGTCATTAGTTGTTCCATATCAGCCTTGCCAGTTTTACATAACTGCTCTTGTGTAAAAGTCTTTTTGCAAACATTTAACTTACCTGTCAGTGATCAGGATCATTTCTCATGCAAAGACCTCCTCAAAATGTAGGTTGAATTATCTGGTTTCTGATGCTTCATTGGTGTGTTTATTTTGTGGATGCCACATGGAAGGAATTATTTCCATTTAATTGTTATGTGCCACATAGAGAGTATGACTCGTACTACCGAAAATGCCTTAAGGTTGTCTTGAACAGAAGCATTTGTTCATTGTAGATAGCATTTGGGCAGTTGATTTGGTAATGTTGATGATCCAGGGTTCTGAGTTGAGAATATATGTACAGAAGGAAAGTCCACTGAAGTGTAGAAACATAGAAAAATAAGCTAATATAAAAAGGTGTGTAGGCCGGGCGCGGTGGCTCACGCTTGTAATCCTAGCACTCTGGGAGGCCGAGGCGGGCGGATTGCTCAAGGTCAGGAGTTCAAAACCAGCCTGAGCGAGACCCCGTCTCTACTATAAAAAAAATAGAAAGAAACCAATTGGCCAACTAATATATATATATAAAAAATTAGCCGGGCATGGTGGCTCGTGCCTGTAGTCCCAGCAACTCGGGAGGCTGAGGCAGTAGGATTGCTTGAGCCCAGGAGTTTGAGGTTGCTGTGAGCTAGGCTGACGCCACGGCACTCACTCTAGCCTAGGCAAGAAAGCGAGACTCTGTCTCAAAAAAAAAAAAAAAAAAAAAAAAAAAGGTGTGTAGACTTTTGAGCCCTAAAGATTCTGGGGGAAAAAAAAAAGAGGTGGATTCAGCAAAGTACTCTCAGGCCAAGGGATTGTGAGGCTAGCCTTGGATTGCATGGAGTGGGGTAGAACCCCTCCGTGAAGAGCTGAGATGTCAACTATTGCTTTTGGGTGAAGGACTACTTACTGGTTGAAAAGAAAGGACCTGTTTCTTTCCTTCCTAAAGGCAATACTGTCTTCAGACACAGAACAAGATATGTATTCTTGTGGAGAGGAAAGAATTGAGCAGAATTTTTAAAAACAATTACTTTAACTGCCTTTAAAAACCGAGCTTCTGTAACTTTAATTCAGTAGTGCTGTGAAAACTGCGTAACTATTTTGTTTTTTATTTGTTTCCACTACTTGTAGACTTCTCATTGGACCAGAGTTTTTTAGTTCCTTTTGATACATTTGTAAATTTTATGGAAATTTATGGGAAAGTTTACTTGGAGAAGGAAGAAAATTTGTGTGTGCTTTTTTTTTTTTTAAAGTTAAAGTCACTTTGAGTTTTAAGAAATAAAATGGTATTACCTGAAACCAAATTATTCCCAGAAGGAGTAAATGCTTTCTTCTCTGCCAGTTTTTGGGATTGTGTCTTAACTCTGCCTTGCCAAGATTTATCATACATCTAGCATTTGAATTATTGTTCACATGTAGCTCTGATACAGTCAGCAAGTGCTTTAAAACACTGGATTGTGATGGCTGTCCTCTTGTTTTCTGCCATTTCATTTCACTGTCATTGTACTAGGGAATTATGGTGGGTCTCACTTGCTAAAGTGAGGGTAGTGTTAGAAAAATTAGTTTTTGAAGAGAAGTGGCTACTAATGTAACCAGTCTGAGGATAAACGTTGTAATACTGGTGCATGTCTTTTTATATGAAAGTAAAAACTTGTGATCCTGTTAATGGGTCCTGTTCTCAGCCTGAGATGATGTGATGATCACGTATTTGAAATGACAGCCTGCGGTTGAGGGGGGGAGGGTTGTGGTTGTGGGAACATGCAGAGTATTTCTGCCACATCAGCTGACCTCATTAGCTAGTACCTTATTCAGAGAGAGAGAGATGAGAGGGACTCATTTGGCCCTGTATTGGCCTTTAGGTCTCCTTTAAACAGTT